GGGCAAGGGAGGAGGAATTCAGGTAAACAAGCCAATCAGTAACCGGGTTTGGAAAAACAAGTCGTGACAAGTCTCAACATGTTGGGGACAAGTCTCAACATGTTGTGCAGCATAGAGGCCTTTATACATCCACATTTTAATGGCATGTATCCCCACAGGTCCTGAAAAAGACAGAAAAGAAAAAAATAGACCAAGACGGACATCAGAAGAGACTCAGAAACTTACTATTTAATGTAGAGTAACTAAAGTGAAAGGAAGAAATGATGAAGTAAAAGAGCTGAACAGAAAATTTCAAAGGGAGGCTCGAGAAGACAAAGTATGATAATGAAATGTCCAAAGACCTAGAGTTAGAAAGCAAAAAAGGGAAGAACACGCTTGGCATTTCTCAGGCTGAAAGAACTGAAGAAAATATTCAAGCCTGGAGTTGCAATATTGAAGGATTTTATGGGCAAAAAATTGAACAACACAGGAAACATCACAAGAAAATGGAAAGAATACACAGAGTCACTATACCAAAAAGAATTAGTCAATGTTCAACCATTTCAGGAGGTAGCATATTATCAGTAACTGATGGTACTAAAGGAAGAAGTCCAAAGTGTACTGAAGGCATTGGTGAAAAACAAGGCTCCAGGAATTGATGGAATACCAATTGAAATGTTTCAACAAACGGATACAACACTGGAAGTGCTCACTTGTCTATGCCAATAAATTTGGAAGACAGCTACCTGGCCAGCTGACTGCAAGAGATCCATGTATGTGCCTATTCCAAAGAAAGGTGATCCAACGAAATGTAGAAATTATCAAACAATATCATTAATATCGCATGCAAGTAAAATTATGCTGAAGATAATTAAAAACGGTTGCAGCACTACATAGACAAGGAACTACCAGAAATTCCAGCTGGATTCAGAAGAGAACATGGAACAAGGGATATCACTGCTGATGTCAGATAGATCTTGGCTGAAAGCAGAGATACCAGAAAGATGTTTACTTGTGTTTTATTGACTATGCAGAAGTATTCAACTATGTGGATCATAACAAATTATGGATAACATTTTGAATATTGGGAATTCCAGAACACTTAATTGTGCCCATCAGAACCTGTACATAGACCAAGAGACAGTTTTTCTAACAGAACAAAGGGATATTGTGTGGTTTAAAGTAAGGAAAGATGTGTGTCAGGGTTGTATCCTTTCACCATACTTATTTAATCTGTGTGCTGAGCAAATAATCCAAGAAGCAGGACTATATGAAAAAGAAAGCAGCATCAGGATTGGAGGCAGACTCATTACCAACCTACAATATGCAGATGACACAACCTTCTTGCTGAAAGTGAAGAGGACTTGAAGCACTTTGATGAATATCAGAGACTACATCCTTCAGTACACATTACACCTCAACATAAAGAAAAATAAAAATCTTTACAACTGGAGCAATAAGCAACGTCATAATAAATGGAGAAAATATTGAAGTTGTAAAGGATTTCATTTTACTTGGATCCACAATCAATGCCCGTGGAAGCAGCAGTCAAGAAATCAAACGATGCATTATGTTGGGCAAATCTATTGCAACAGACCCCATTAAAGTGTTAAAAAGCAAAGATGTCACTTTGAGGACTAAGATGTACGTGACCCAAGCCATGGTATTTTCAATTGCCTCATATGCACGTGAAAGCTGGACAATGAATAAGGAAAACTGAAGAAGAATTGACGCATTTGAATTATTGTGTTGATGAAGTATACCACGGGCTGCCAGAAGAACAAACAAATCTGTCTTGGAAGAAATACAGCCAGAATGTTCCTTAGAAGCAAGGATGGCAAGACTTCATCTTATGTACGTTGGCCACGGTATCAGAAGGGACCAGTCCCTGGAGAAGGACATCATCCTTGGTAAAGTAGAGGGTCAGCGAAAAAGAGGACGACTCTCAATAAGATGGATTGACACAGTGACTGCAACAATGGGCTCAAACATAGCAATGATTGTGAGGATGGCACAGGACTGGGCAGTGTTTTGTTCTGTTGTACATAGTGTTGTTATGAGTCTGAACTGACTTGACGGCACCTAACAACACCAACAACATTTTACTCTTATCCAAAATGCAAATGAAAGAGTCAAATGGATTCTCAAATATTTGTTAACTATTTGTATTTTCTTATCTCATATTTTGTAGATGCTCCTTACTAATCTGTTTTTGCTTTGATTTTTTTTTGACTAGTGCATACATAGAGATATAAAGCCAGAAAATATCCTCATCACAAAACGCTCCGTGATAAAACTTTGTGACTTTGGCTTTGCTCGGCTTTTGAGTGAGTATTGAAGTTTTCTTTAGCTAAGTGTAAAAAATGGAAAGGTTATTTACATGATAAATGAGTAAATGATACAGAAAGCAGTTCTTTTAGATTTAGGGCATAAGATTGCTATAAATTATAATTCTGTAATTACTGAAAATGTGTAGACACATGCTGGAGTTTAAAAATGTATGTTATATGTAAATTATACCATAATAAAATTGATACGAAAAAGTATGTTACTCTCCTTCTTTCTACCATTTTTTTTGTAGAATAGTAGTTTTCAGAATATTTAAAAGAGTGGTTCTCAGCCTTGGCTGCAGATTAAAATCATCTGGAGAACTTTTAAAACTATATTGATATGCTCCCAGCCCTCCCTAGGGATTCTGCTTTAATTGAATTGGACTTGGGTCCAAGCATCAGTATTTTTAAAAGTACTGTACTCCAGAGTCCCTGAGTGGTGCAAACTGTTAACATGCTCGACTGCTAACTGAAAGGTTGAACGTTCGAGTCCACCCAGAGGCAACTCAGAAGACAAAGTCTGGTGATCTACTTCTGAAAAATCAACCACTGAAAACCCTGTGGAGCACAGCTCTACTCTGACACACATGAGGTCTCCAGGAGTTGGGGTTGACTTGACAGAACCTGAGAAAAAAAAATTTCCAAGCAATTTTAATGTGCAGCTAGTAATGAGAACCACTGATTTAGAAAAACCACAAGATGGGACACAAGCTTGATTTTTTTAGGTTTTCCCCTCCCAGCTTTGATTCTAGGCTTCCCCTGCTCTTTCTGTTTTCCATGTTCCATCACTGGCCAGCTGGACCAAGTGACTACTACACAGATTATGTTGCTACCAGGTGGTACCGCTCCCCTGAGCTGTTAGTGGGGGATGCACACTACGGCCCCCCAGTAGATGTTTGGGCCATTGGCTGCGTCTTCGCTGAGCTGCTGTCAGGTGTGCCTCTGTGGCCAGGAAAATCAGATGTGGATCAGATCTATCTGATTAGGAAAACCTTGGGTAAGTAGTGTTTTTGTCCCATTTTTTGGAAAGCCGGATGTTTTTACCCATGTCCCTGCAGAACAGAGCACAAGTTCCTAGTTTTATCTACTGCCCTTTGCACTTTGGAAAGCCTTCATGAGTGTCAATAAAAACAAGGCACTCTCAAGGCCTTATATAAAAGGCTCCTTTAAGGATGTCCACGTTTGTTTTAATAAAAATGACTGACAATTATCGTGGACTTATTAAGTGCCCAAAAAGACACATGATTCTCACTTCAGCATAGTTTGGATCAAGTTAAAAGCTGAATAATGATTATAGCAGCAATAAAATCTTGGATTTCTACAAGGGCTTGACAGTTTACAGAATGTGTTCAAGTTTTATTTCATTTATTCTGATATGGTAATTCATTCTTTGGATAGCCTTAACTCCAGCCTGCCAGACTAACTTGGATTATACAGACTCCGCAGAGGAAGATTCTCAATTCTCCAAGTGGTCAGGAAGAAAGGCTGGTTTCTCCTAATGTCACTCTACTTGTCTTGCTTTCCCACCCCAAGGCTCTTTCCTTTCTTTATATTTGCCTGAGGGGAGGAAGGAAAGGAAGAGGAGAGGAGGGGAGAGGCAGTGAAAGATCCATAAGCAGGGATTACGCTTTTCAAAAGTCAGAGAGTTTACATACTACTCCTTTGAGTATCCCAGTTTAAAGCATACTTGTCTTCCTCTAATCTGTTGTAGCACCTGCATCATCATGTCTTGGACACTGGTTTTCCGAAAATACTGTAGGCTGCTTGAGGGCGAGATCATATCCTCTGCTTCTGTTTATGCTGCAGTGACGTTTGCACACAGTTGCTTGTTAGCTGCCATATAGTCGGCCCTGACTCACGGTGACCCCATGCACAACAGAAAAAAGTGCCGCCTGGTCCTGCACAACCCGCATGATCAGTTGCCGATTGGACTGTTGTGATCCATTGGGTTCTTTTTGGCTCTAGATCTCCAGGCCTTTCCTCCTAGTCCATCTTAGGCTGGAGGCTCCACTGAAACCTGTTCAGGATCATAGCAACTCGCAAGCTCCACTGAGGGATGGTGGCTGCACTTGAGGTTTATTAGCCAGGAATTAAGAATTCTACCACAGAACACAGTAGGCAGTAAATATTTGCTGGTAGCTTGATTTTGTACAGTGACATGTAAGGGACCTTGTAGCCCTTCTAGGGACATTCAGCCTCCCTTCTGTGTTTCCTCTGGTGATTTTAGGGTACTCCCCGTACCCTCCGTCCAGCTCTCTGATTGAAGGTTGTTTGGGTACAAGGAATTGTGTTCATGAAGAAGCTCACTGAGAACTGGGGCAAGGCATTAGAGAGGATATTTTGGTTGCTCATCCAAAATGGGGTGTGGCAAGTTTCTGGATCTGAGTGAGAGGTAAAGTTCCAAAATAAATTGGCAAAATTAGGCAACTTGATACCCTGGGGTTGGAACTTCAGCACAGTCCAGTGGCAGCAGGTCAGGGGCCCCTAGCTGGCAGGTTTTTGTTTTCCACTCTGCTCTGGGAAGGGGAGTACTTCTGGGCATCTCCTTATATTCGTCTTACAAAATGCCTCTTCAAGTGTGATGTCCCTAGCATTTTACACAAGAGCGATTTTAGATATTTGGCTGAAATGTAGGCAGGATAAGCTTCACATAATCCCCCAGGATTTTGAAATGCTCCTTTTGTTGCATTGCTTCACATTATAAGTGCTTCTAAACAGTAGATGAAATAGAATCCCCAGGTGATCTCTAATAGGTGCAAACAAGAAAAGATAGTTCCAATTCGGAAACGTATTCTTTCTAGCTAGAAAATCTTTCATGCTTTATTCCCTTTCTTCCTCAAATATTTATTGAGTGCTAGGTATGTGTCAAGCCAGGCACTGTTCTATGTGCTAGGCCAATGCATTCCTCTTATCTCAACCCATAAGGCTTCAGTTAACATGATTTTGATGTGTAATCGTTGCGGTTTTGCTAAGAAAAAAAGGCATTATTTTATTTGCGCGTGTTTTTCCAGCTGAGTCCAGTGGCAGTGGGTCAGGGTTTGGATCAGTTGTTAGGTTTGGATTCCTCAAACACATTTTAAGCCTTTGAGGGGCCAGACCATTCCAGCCCTCAGTTTCTGTTGCATACCTCCAAAGTGCCTAACACAGTGCTTTGTTCACTGTAGGGCTCAGTAAAGGCTGTTGATGGCTGCCTGAATGCTATTCCTTCTGACTGGATAACAAAACTACAGCATTCATAGGTGCATGCACAGACAGACACAGCATCTACAGAGGGAAACCAGAGATCAGTGTTTGCTGCCGTTCTTACTTTACCTCCTTTCTTCTTGTCCAAAGGGGATCTCATTCCTAGACACCAGCAAGTATTTAGCATGAATCATTACTTCACTGGTGTGAAAATCCCAGACCCTGAAGATATGGTGAGTAACCCATTTTGGAGGGAGCTGTGCATGTCAGGGCTAAGATTACCAGGGTGCTTACATGGTGAATGGTCTATTTACTTGGTGAGTTGCAGAGCTGGCCTGGCCAGACTGGTTAGGGCTTGGTAATTGCTCACCTGCCTGAGCCCGATGGCCCACCCTGCACTAACTGGTCAGTCTAAGGGTGAAAAAGAAAATTGTTGCAAGTTGGCTAGAAAGACCCTGGCCTTCAGGGCTAATTTAGAGACTGCTGGGAAGAGTTCAGCCAGCCGAGTTGACAGAAAGGCAGCGCTGCCTGTTGGAGCCACACCTGCCCTTCATCATTCTCAGCAATTGAACTGTAGCTCAGCGTCAATCAACTTTTAGACAGCGACCCATGGAGGACAACGTGTCCAAATCCCCTACTTTAACATGCTCTTGCCATGAGGAGACAATAACCCATTGCCGTTGAGTCGATTCCAACTCATATAGCAACCCTACAGGACAGAATAGAATTGCCCCATAGGGTTTCCAAGGAGTGGCTGATGGATTCCAACTGCCAACCTTTTGGTTAACAGCCATAGCTCTTAACCACTGCGCCGTAAGGAGACCATAGGAAAAACCGTTTTGAACTTGTTGACCAGCCTCATTCCAATGTGTGTCCTTTATGCTAATGTGGAGAAAACACTCATTTAAAAAAAAAAAAAAAAAACGAAAAACTAAAAATCGCATGCCTTAACCCACTTCTAAGAATTTATCCCAATGAAACCATTAGACATGGGTATTATTTAATAGAAATAATTTTCTTTAGTGTTCCACCAGTAGAGGATTAATTAAATAAGTTATGGTGCATACTTACAATAGAAATACCATAGAGCCACTAAAAACAATTAGATTTATATGTACTGACCTGAAAAAGACGTCCACAACATATTGTTAAATGAAAGTAATGGTCGTGAAACATATGCTATAATTTTAATAAACAGACACATACATATACTTACATATATAAATTCATAATACATAATATCACAACCTCTGAGAAATCATGCAAAGCTCTTTACATTTGTGAAATAAACGGCTGCAAGGATATATACCAAAGTATTAACAGCAGATGTCTCTTTGTTGTGGGATTTGGACGTGCTTTATTATTTCTTTACGGTTTTCTAGATTTTCTGAATATCTTCTAATGAGCATGTATTATAACAAAAAACATTTTATAGCAAAATTAAAGTCTGTGAAATTCTGAGGAAGGTACTTTCAAATTGAAACCAGACCTCTGGTTGCTCAGAGTTCCCAGATGGAAGTTCTGTCTGTCCCTACCACTGTTCTCTGCCAGGTCCCTTTCCCTCTTGGCTCGCCCCACAGTGAAGGCTTCCACTTCCCCACTGCCTCCCCTATCCCTGCAGCACCAACAAGAGGAAAAGTGAGTCGTGCTGGGACTAAGCAGCGGGAATGACACCTGCATATGGGAGGTGACCCATCAGGCTCTCTTGTGACCTGGGTGAGGGGGACATTCCCAGTTCCACACTAAATGTCCCTGAGCGATTTCCTGTTCCTTCGTCTGCCAGTGAAGCATCAGAAACAACCCAGCTTTCAGAAATGTAAAAAGCTTCCCATGGTTTCCCAGAGGTTGTCCCGCAGGAGATTTCCTGTTGACAGAAACACAGGAAGAAGCAGCACAGGGGCTGCCCTGGTTGAACATCTGTGCCCAAGTCCCTCTGTTGGTTAGTAACCCTGACAGAGGGAGGCCTGCTTGCTTCTGGGGCTGGGAAGCTGGCTAAGCAGGCAGGATGAGCCCCGGCATATCTCAGCCAACCAGCCGGCCTCATCCCAGGAGTTGTTGCTGAGACAGCAGAGCCCAGTGTCAGCAATGTCATGTCAATTCCCAGCGGTGCTCAGATTGAACACACAGAAATAGCAAGAGAAATATTTAAGCTAGGGGGAGGGGGTCTGTTCTCAAGGGCTAATATAAATCTACTTTAGGAATTTTTTTTTCCTGTTGAGTTTAGGGAGCTCTAAAACAGAGGCTGTTATCTCTTAGTCTTATCAGTGATTAGTATGTGCACAGTCACGAGTTCATTGTAGAGGGCTGGTTTCCGTGTTCAAAACAACGAGGTGCTCTCTTAAGCTTGACCACAGCATGGGACTGGGTTTCATTAGATGAGCCCAGCCAGTACTCCAGCCTCCAGCTCACACACTGCAGTCTTCATATGCATAATGCACCGTGCTCATTTACTTCCATCATCTTTGGCTGGCTGTTATTTTTTTTCAGCTTCCCTGCTCTATTGCCTCTTTGTCAGTGGTATATCTCTTTAACTGGCCTGTTTGTCTCCCTGACATTCGGCATTCCTCCCACTTTATAGTATTTATTGTTCCTGATTGTCTCCAGCTTGTGACTGGAGCAAAATAGCCATATATGGCCAAAGGGAGATTGATGAATGTCTGCTTAGGAGACTTTTTAAACAGCAGGCTGATCAGGGAAACAGCAGGCTCTTGTGGGAGCAGACAACAATATTTATTCCAGAAAAGCAAGAAGCATCTAGAGATCACCTAGGTAGGGGGAAAAATCTGTTCTGAAGCTCCCTTTATGAAATGCTAATCAATGCAATAATTACGGCTCCCTTTACATAAATGCCAAAAATTATGCTGAGGAAAGTCGAATTATATAAATTGAGGCATAAAAAAAGTAGCAATTGCTCAACAGGTTTTTTTTTTTTTTAAATCAGGGTTCCCTCATAAGTTGCTGCCTGCAGTGGTTCTTTAGGAAGTGAATGGAATGGTCAGGAAGTAAATTTGGAAAAGGAATTTGGAGGCGGGGAGAGAAGGAGCTTGTGAAACAGGCCTAGGAATGTTGTTTCAGGTAGGAGGTGGGATGGGCAAAGGGTGGAGGAGGGAAGGAAGATGCCAGAAGAGGCTTATCTCATGCAAAAGAAATTTAATTTGAGGTAATCCTATACTTGAATATATGATATAAATAAAAACCACCTTTTCTTTTCCTCTTCTTATTTTTTTACAGGAGCCACTTGAATTAAAGTTTCCAAACATCTCTTATCCTGCCCTGGGGCTCTTGAAGGTACAAGTACAGCCTCCATCACAGCAGGGAGATTCATCACTGGGGGACCTGAATTACTTACATCAATCTATGAATTGAAATGAAAACCGTTCCTTTCAGAATTCTTCTCTTTAAAAAAAGTATAAGTACAGTGTTATTTTGAATTTTTAAAACAGGTCACATCACATTCTGTTACAGTGAAAACATGTTAAACATTTCTCACTTTAAATAATTCTAACATTTGAAATCTAAATTTATACAAAATAGAAAGGGAGGTGGTGTTTGTATTACAAAGGGATCCTTTTCTTCAAAAAATGCTTAGCCATATGCTCCTTTTAAATAGCCAAATTCCCTAGTATACTTGAAGTACATTTTGATTTTAAAACTTGATTTATATACAAATTTTTAGAAATATAACTCATGTAAAATGAGGTACAAATTATAATTAAAATATTTGCAAGTTACAGTCAATGTTTCACCTATTTCAGAAAGTATTTAATCCTTTTACTGATACATTTATAGTAAAACAAAAAAGAGTGAGACAGTTCCTTGGGGTGTGAAGTTCTGAGATTTAATCTGTGGAAGTATGAGCCCTATGGCCTACTAAACAGCAAAGAAAATAGTTGAGAATAACTAATGTACTATAAAAGCATGTATATTATGTCCCCCTTATATACAAACATATATATGCTTGTAAATGCATAGACTTTCTGGATGGATACACCAAAAAAAGGAAAAAAAGGAGGAGGGGCTGATTCTAGCAGGGCTTTGAACTGGTTCATTCTAGTTCAAACCCCTGCTGAGAATTTACATTTCCACCCCCAGATATACTGAATCAGAATCTTGTTATAAATGTAGATTCTGATTCAGTATATCTGGGGGTGGAAATGCAAATTCTCAGCAGGGTTTCAAACTAAAAGGAACTGGTTCAAAGCCCTGGATTCTAGGAAGGAGAATGGAAGAATTAGGGTGACAGAGAGACTTTGCTGTATAATGTATGACTTTTTTTTTTTTAACCATGTGTGGGTATTGTTTTTTAAATAAAAACACTAGTTTTTACAAAGTATATGCAAGGGACCAAACTGGCTAAGAGGATTATCGCAGTTGCCACCGAGGTGAACTAAAAAATTATATCCTACTCCCTCAGGGCAGAGCACCAACTGCCTCAAGAACAGAACAAGGTGGACAAAAGGTTAAAAATTTTTTGTTACTACTTCTAGAAACTATTATTTATTATTGGGACACCCATTTAGGAATGGCAGTGGAAGGAACTAAAATCATGTTTGGTATGTTTTTCCTATTTTCTTTTTTGCCCCTCTTGTTCCCAACTAGAGTTTAATTCTTCATAGAAGAAATAAAAATGATATTAATCAGTTAACACAATTTTAAAGAAATAAAAAGAAGGAATTTTTTGTTCCTTTAGGGCTGTCTCCACATGGACCCTGCTGAGAGACTGACGTGTGAACAGCTGTTGCAGCACCCATATTTTGACAGCATCAGAGAAATAGAAGGTTTGGCAAAAGAACATGGAAAACCAAGCAGGAAGACCCTAAGACAGAGCCGAAAGCACTTGCCTGGGGTAAAAATGGTACATTGCTTTACAGAAGCATCCAGAGTTACAGTTTCAAATGATCTTTACCTGCACTTGGCACAGAGAATCTGAACCAGTGGACATGAGGGTGGCAAGTGTGGCCTGTAGCTACAGCACCCTCCTTCCAGCACTAGGAGACAGGCCACATAATCTATCAATCAGCCTGGGCCCCAGAGAGAGCTACCTTCTGCCTGAATCCTAAAGGTATCTTTGTCTTGCAAGTTCCTGCTGCCACACAGGGGCCAGGGTTTGTGGCGCATATCAGTGCAGGTCTCAGCCAGGTACACAAGTGTGAGTCTAGCTGAGCGTGCGTCTTGTGCTTTGGAAGATGAAATAAGATTTATGCCAGGCAGCTTCTTCTCTTCTGTGTTTCTCTGTGTTTGCCTTCAGCATTGACATTCCAGTTTTATCCAAAAAAAGAACTTGTTTTCCTCCCTGATCATTTAAAAATAATCTTCAGAGCTGGCTCGGGAAAATACAGTAATGAGTGCTCTCAGTGATATCAGCAGAATGGCACATTTAACCAGAGAATAGCATCCAAACTGCACCCTGGGAGCCTATGAAGAATCGTGGTTGGCGTAAAGTGGCAAAAAGGCCTTACATTTTGGCTTATCCATTCTTGTCCATAAACCAAAAGCTGTAATAATTTAGAATGTACTGTAGATGGCACCACAGCTGGCTGCTCCTGGTCACTTCTAGATCTGCCTGGGTACTATTTAGCTATAAATCATCTTACCTTAACCTTTCCCTTCGCAGAGCTGACCCCCGAGCAAGCTTCCACTGCCCAGCGTTAAATGGGATCTGGGTGGTGTGTGTGCAATATGGAGGAGGGAAGAGGGTATAGTCTGTTAGGAACAGGTACAGGCTTCAGGTAGACCAGAGTTAAGAAATTAAGGATATTTATTTTATTCTCTATATGACCCAAGTAGCAAAACAGGCTGGAAATAGACTTTTCCTCAGTTACCTCTTATCTTGCTGTTACTTTATGTTCAAGAGTAAAGTGTCTTGATGGAGATCTCTCTACTTGAAAGAGTAGGGGGACTGCACTAATAGGTGTATGTATTGCTTTTAGTCCACTGTTTAAAAGTACCCTCCTTTTCAGATACCTAAAGCAATACAAAAAATACAGGTGTGCTCTCCTTTTCATTGGACATTGACAATGAATTCAAACATTTTCTGGCAGCACAGAGGGAATCGTTTTGCCTTTTTAAACTAAGAAAGTGTAAAAATCCCCTACGTATCTGGACATCAGTTTTCTCTGCTGTAAGTCAAAGAGTTGGGATTAGATGATTCCTAGGGTGCCTGCAAACTCTCCACTCCTATGATTCTATGCTTTTTCTAAAAATGTTTACATGCAGATTTTTCCTTTCTCATACTCTCCAAATTTTCTTTAATGTGCATGTTTTGGTTTTTAATATAAAATAAGCATTTAAAAGGAAAAGCAAAAACCAAATATAAACATTTTTGTCCTCACTCAGGTCCTAGATTCTGCAGAAAAAATATTTTTGTGCAGAAAATGTTAATTACCCAATTACCTCTTTTGTGATGTATTCTCAGTAATGAAATAAAATGCATGACACTGTTGAGTCTAATTCTGTGTTTTGTATTTTCAGTTGCAGTGTTTACCCCAGCTAACCAGCAGCAGCATCCTTCCAGCTTTGGATAATAAAAAGTACTACTGTAATACCAAGAAACTTAACTACCGTTTTCCAAATATTTAAGGAGCTAGGAGGTTGATGGTAGAGGGAATTGATGAATAATTTTAATTGATTAAAACAAGAAAGTATACATTTGAAAATGAAGGTTTTAACTGGAAGCCACCACAATATACATCAGGAGAAAACACAAGCAATTAACTAGGGTGGGGCAGGGGGAACACTTGGCAAGAAATTACAGATCCAGTCTTCCATGCTTGATGATAGTGTCCTGGACAGAAAGGAAAACTTGTTTGGAGTTTCACCTGTATTTTTGTTGTATTCAAGCAGCCAAGCTTATAGAGAGAACATAAACTGTATCTACTGCACATTCCTCTCGCAAAATTACATGATGTCAAAAAGATTTTTGCTTCAATTTGTACCATATGTGACAAGTTAAAAATACTACAGAATGCCCATAATGTATTTCCTTGTATCTCTGTTGCCTTGAATCCTCCTATTCTCCTGCATCCAGATTGTCTCAGTATCATAGTAAAGGAGAGTTTTAGTTCTTGAAATCAAAATGTTAAGTTCTATTTCCTACTTGCTGTCTCCTGATTTATATATTCTAAAATATTTTTTGAATCAGATGTTAAAAATATTTAAAATGATTATAAAAATACTGTTATATGCTTATATATTTAATCTTTATAGACATTTCTTATACTTTTGTCTTTACCTTCAGTAAAGCATGCTAACAAGATGGATTTACAAAAATCTATGTGCACATGTTCACCCGATTCCCCTTGCAACCAATGACATGATGCTTGGCAGCTGACTAAGGTGGTCAAAGGGTAGAACAAGAACTACAATCTTCATAGGAACTGAACCCACCACCCTGAAAATGATTAGTAGTACTGCATTCTCTCCAGCTCAGCCTCAGGCCTGGAGACTGAGCTACAGGTAGGACTGTAAATAGTGATCTGGGTTTTGGAAGAAACTGCTTTTGAGATTTTACTTGCATAATGGAAAAGCTTTACATTATAAACTTGTTTTCCCTGAAACATCTATTTACATGTGAATGTATGTGTATGCACACATACATTATATACATATATATGCGTGTGTATATATACTAACCTATTAACTAATATATAACCACCAAATGGGGCAGTTCTACTCTGTCCTACAGGGTCGCTATGAGTTGGAATCGACTCAACAGCAACGGGAATAAATAATAAGTAATCCAAAATGATACAACTGAAGATTCCTATCTTTGTACAGTGAGACTTAAAATGATGGCATATTGTTTGTTTTGCCTTGGCCCACTGCTCCTATTCAAAAAGCTTTTTCATCCTTGTCCCCTATAGACAAGAACAATGTGAAGCCTGTGTCTGTTTCTTGCAGCTCAACACCATTTTTGGTTAATGTGCTGTTACTATTTTCTAGCAGTTCTCAGCCACAGTTTTCAAAATGGTATTTTACTATATTTTAAAAACATTTCTTCTGCATTCTCAGTTTATTGCTATGTGAATTTTCTTCATGAGAGCATTTTATCCCATTCATCTACTGCTACGTGATCCACTACATTCTGGCATCTGCTCTATTATCTTAGCCACCCCAGCCAGTTTAATGACATTCTAAGGCTTCCTGATGTATGTAGCTTCTTGCATAGAGCTGATAGTGGGCTATGTAACAGTTCCAGTATCATCCCATTCTTATTTTGTAGCTTTGATTCCAATGAAAAGGAAGGACATCCAACTTCTGTGAATAGTTTGTGTGTGCTTCCTTAACCTAAGAAAATGCACTTGACGGAGGCAGATGACTATAACTACCTAGTTAATCCAATAGTTTTATAGAAAACTACTCAGAAAGAATAGCTCTAGACTAAACTGAGGTGAACCAGTTGCCTGGTCACACAGAAATGAAACAGAAACGTGAGAAAAAGGGCTCATCTTTTTCTAATGAGTTCTATTAAATTTATGCTTGTATTTCACCATGTCTGTAATCCTTTCCTCAGCCTGGAATCACCACTGTGTCACATGAAACTTCTACATCCTTGTTTTTTTAATTTACTATTCTGATTTTTTTCTAGTGAAAGACGTTAGCAATTATATTAGTAAAAAGGAAACCATTTATGTTATGTGCTATTTACATAAATTGGTTTTTAAATGCACCTAAAATTTGTTTCTACCTGAAAGCTGTATCATAGAAAGTGTTGTTTATTTTAAAAGCATTTCCAGTCAAAGTTATATTCATCATCTTAATGTTCAAACCAACATACAGACATCCATAAACAAGTCAGCAGTTACTAACAATAATCAAATCAGGGCCACTTCAAGCAGGTCAAAATAAAGACCTATTTTACCTATTAATATTCTTTATTCTTGTATTCTAGATATAAATTATGTGTTTCCATTCATTTTGATGTCTCTTGAGCTGATAGGAGATAGTATCCAAGAATATATGAAGGAAGAAAAATTAGCTTCTAATTGACATGTTAAAATTTCCTGTTTAAAGCAATTTTTTAATTTAAGAAAAAGTAAGTGTAGCTATGCTGGTTTTTATCTTTACAATTGTTTCCCTTTGTATCCCTGTTCAATCAGCAAAACTTTTTAAATTCAGTCAAGTATCTATGTTCAGTTTTAATAAAACCCTAGCCTAAGCTTACAAAATAGACAAATTAATCAGAAATTATTCATTCTGAGAAAGGGTGTATGATATAAAGAAAACAGGAAACCAGGATCATGAGACATACGTGCAAATGCCAGGATGCAGTATGAAAGGCATGCCTCAGTAACCACTGACAACTCTGCACAACTGATTCCATCATCAGTGAATCTGTAATTCAGCTTCACGTTTTCACAATTGTGCATTTATAGTAACATGCTTCAGTAACTTTAAAGTTATAGTAAAATGTAATATAAATTACTGTTCATATAATACAATACAGAATATCTGTGTTAGACATTCAAATCACTTTGGAGACTTCTGTATCACTATATCCAGAAATAGCTATATTATTATCTGAGGAATATATTAGAATTTAAATGCAACGTGCTGTGCATTTTTCTTAAAATGATTTAATGTACATCAATTCTCACTTCCAAGTTAGTAACTATAGTGAGTCACATCTATTTTCTACATATGGACTCAGCATGCCCTTTCCCCTTCTAAAATGCCATGACCTGACATCCTTACAGTTCTATTAACAATTACATGATATTTGCTGCTGTTTAGAATTAACAATTTCAAATGATTCTTTACAATGAAATAAGACACTTGTTGATTATTACTATTTTTTTCTTTTTTTACTTCAAGTCTAATTTTAGCTTCAGAGAAGGCAGTGATATCTGAAAGGCTTGGACAATCTTTTCTTTTTCTCTTACTCCAGGAAGGTCAGATAACAACAAATAGTTGAGGTTTCTGTAAATAGAGAAAGAAAAAAAAAATCATTTCATCTGGCCTTACTATTATAGCATTAAAAATAACTTGATGTATTGACTTTTAGGGAAAAACTACACCCAGAATATGTTTATGTCACCCTGGACCTTCAAACTGACTGACTATCTGAACAGTGCTCTTTGAGTACTACTTTAAATGAAATTCATGCTAGGAACTACGCCAGGCTGTGGAAAATTTAGTTACTCTGAATTACATCAGTATTTCTAGCTGAATCTTTCCAAATACTATATGTATATTATGGCATAGAAGTCCTTTGCTTGTGAAATATGAAATCTGAATCTTAACCCAAAAAGGGAAAAATTAGGAAGGTTCTTAAAGGAATTTGTTTCTATTAGAAGATGAAGCCAAGAAGCCTCAACTAACGTTTAAGAGATGAACAATCTAGTATTTTTGGTCCTAATGTATAAAATGTCTCAATGTTTCCATGATACTGAAGTTATTGGCAGATCCATTACGGATTAAGGCAGAAGTACATTAACTAGATTCAGAATTTTAATGGTGGGATCTCTAAAATAGGGGTTTGGTTAAACAAATTTTCATTCTCCATCATTCTGATAAGACTCAGAATTTGGCAATTTTAGAATTAAAAATTCCTTGCTAATAGTATCTGGTTTTTTATTTGGGATTCGGTGACTTGCTCCAGGCTATCACCTGTGTCTGGTTGGTGGTAGAGGCAGACCTAGAACAGCTTTCCTGACCAACGGATGTGTGCTTTTGAAATGTATGATATGTCAGGCAGTGTTCTAGACCACAGTGGAAGAAAGGTGACTATTTCAAGGTTTGCCCTCAATCAATTGCAGTGTTAAATACTAATGAGTATATACCAAATGTCACATGAATACCAAGACACTGGAAAAACCGCTTTAAAAAATGGAGTTGTTGCTGTTGTCAGGTGCTGTCAAGTCAGTTCCGACTCAGAGACCCTACGTACAACAGAATGAAACACTGTCTAGTCCTGCACCATCCTCACAATCACTGCTATGTTTGAAACCACTGTTGCAGCCACTGTGTCAGTCCATCTCATTGAGGGTCTTCTTCTTTTTTGCTGACCCTCTACCAAGCATGATGTTCTTCTGCAGGGACTGGTCCCTCCTGATAACATGTACAAAGTACGTGAGATAAAGTCTTTCCATCCTGGCTTCTAAGGAGCATTCTGGCTGTACTTCTTCCAAGACAGATGTGTTCTTTCTTGTGGCAGTCCATGGTATATTCAATATTTTCGCCAACACCATAATTCAAATGCATCAATTCTTCTTCAGTCTTCCTTATTGTCCAGCTTTCAAATGCATATGAGGTGAATGAAAATACCATGGCTTGGGTCAGGCACACCTTAGTCCTCCAGGTGACATCTTTGTTTTTTAACACCTTAAAGAGGTCTTTTGCAGTAGATTTGCCCAATGCAATATGTTGTCTGATTTCCTGACACTGTTTCCATTGAGTATTTATTGTGGCTGCAAGTAAAATGAAATTTTTGACGTTGTCAATGTTTTCTTTGTTTATCATGATGTTGCTTATTGGTCCAGTTGTGAAGATTTTTGTTTTCTTTATGTTAACGTGTAATCTATACTGAAGGCTGGAGAGGAGCCATATAGCTAATGCTTATTCAGGGTTTACTATGGCAGCACTACGCTAGATGCTTCATGTGGATTTAATTTTTTTTAAAAAATGCCCCCTAAAAAATGCAATAGTACCTTAATGTATTAAGGCTTATCATTTTGGCTGTCTTAAAACATTATAGATGAAAGTTAAGTCATTTTCTTAAATTATATTTTTCAAAACTAATAAAATAACACCACCCTCAACTATTTTAAATTCTGATTATTTACTCACCTTAACATCATTATTAGGTTTCCATTTTTGACCACCTACCTTAAGTGATGCAAAGCAATGATGCCTTTTTCTGTGACATTCCCACAGGAAATTATTTCCATTTCCAAAATGCTTTTTTGTAAATTTTCCAATTGACCAAGCCTCTCTAAACAGGTATCCTCGATATAATGACACTTGCATAATTTTATTTTTTCAACGTGCTGTAGGCCCTCTGGAGGAAAAAAGATGCAGTTTAAGAATTTGGTTTACCCTTAGGATCACTGACTGCCTTGGTTTGCCCAAGGCAGTCCTGGTTTTAGCACTGAAAGTCCCATTTCCTTGGAAAACCTGGACCACTGGTCACCCTACTAACTAGACAAGGTATTTACTATACAGGTTGTGCTGACGGACAGAGCCATTCTGCAGTCAGATGTCCATGCATCCGACGAAAGAAATGCCCACCCAAGGGGAGCTATGCAGATATAATTATTCCTATATTATTGAAGGTTTCTCAGTGGCAGCAGTTTGAAAAAAGTATCAAAGGCCTTGAATTTTAAGATAAACCACAAAATAAAGCTCTGTAGAGACAAGCTTAGTGAAGAAAGGAAGGAGAAGAAGATGTTTGCAACCTCTATTTAATCTGAAAATATCAAACGTAGGAAGAAACAAACTGGACTGTACTGAAATGGGCAAAAATGGACCTATGACTGTAATAGTGTGCCAACTGCAGCAAAATGATCACTGCAAATCACATAAACAAAATGATAGGGTGGTTACCCATGTGATCAAATCCAATGTTCATGATACAAGAGTTGGTGGCGTCGATTGCTTGAATCTTGTATTTGTCCAGAGGGCCTGTTGGGAGGTTGTTGTAGTCCTTCTGCCACCTCTCCTGGCCGTGGTACCGCACCATGGCCCCACAGCGCAGCAGCCACTCAGATGCTGCCCTGTCTGGGCCAACATCCCTGATGCGTTCATAATCTACTCTGTTGGCAAGAGAACAAAAGTAGATATGCTTTTACTATAATCATTAGCTTCTTATCCTACCTATATTCTCCAACATACATGCAGAACACCAACATTTTATTTCAAATGACTGAGAAGGATGATAAGTAATATTAGTGATATCCATGCCAAAAAAAAAAATACTATGGCTCTACATGGTTTGCTTTTGTTTCCAAGTGAACTCTATCAAAGCATATTATTTTTATATGAGATCATCAGGCACACATGAGCCTTCACTGATGCCTGCGCAGCACAGTGCTTGACAACAGGAAGTGCTCAGTTAACTATGTATTGAATAAATGACTACACTTGGTTATCTTTTAAATTACTGATAAACGATTAAAGAGGGAATAATTTTGAACCTAAATTCAAATTAATCTTACCAAGTGATATTTATTAATTTCTACATACTCCTTTTTCTCTAGTTAATGGTCATAATACTATATTAAGCAACAATGAGAGGTTAGTTTCATCAGTCTCAAGCTGATATTTCTAAACTTGCTACCCACTAACTTTTTAAAAATTTGAGTTGACTTGGTGGTATTCAAATGGCTTGTATATTCCTTAAGAAGCCATAGAAATGTGTGCACCAGTGTTCATAGCAGCACTATTCACAACAGCCAAAATGTGGAAACAACATAAATGTCCACCAACAGATGAATGGCTAAACAAAATGTGGTATATGCAAACAATGGAATATTATTCAGCCATGAAGAGAAATGAAGTCCTGATAAAGGCTACAACATGGATAAACCTTGAAAACATTATGCTTATGTCACCAAAGGACAAATATTGTATGATGCCACTTATATGAAATATCTAGAATTGGCAAGTATAGAGAGACCAAGGGTTATTAGTGGTTATACCGGAGGGAGGAGGGGTGGTCACTGCTTGGGGGCACTGAGTTTCTGTTCATGGTAGTGGAATAATTTGGAAAAGGATACTGGTGATGGCTGCACATGATGAATGTAATCAAAGTCACTGACTTGTACATGTAAAAATGTTGCATGGGCAAATGTTTTGTTATATATATTTTTAGCACAGTTAAAAAAAAAAAAATTAAATACATTGGGAAAAAAAAGAAGCCAGAGAATAAAATATTTGAAAATTACACTTATTAAACTTTTCTGGTTACAAATGTATTCAATGTTTGTTTTAGAAACTTTATAAATCATTGAAAAGGAAAAGTAAGAAAAATCACTGAAATCTTGTAAACCAAACAGCCATGGTTAATATTTTGGAATCTATTTTTCTGGTCTTTTTCCATGTTTGTATGTATGTTTTATTTGTTTTTAAACAAAATTAGGATCATACTGCAATACTATTCAAAAATATTTAAAATACAAGAGAAAATCAAATTAGCTATGGGGAACTCATCTAGCTGTAATAATCCCCACATTTCTTCACTTTAGTTGGAGTAACTTACTTATTAAATACTGCATTCAACCAGCCCCAGAAGGACCTGGAGTCACATGACCATGGGAGTTTCTTTAAGCCGCAGAACTGCCAGGAGATTTTTCCAAACAGCATCATTTGATCTAAACATACAAAACAGTACTCATATTAGATCATCAGCTGGCAATCAGAGTCCCATACATTTAGTAACTTACTTCACAACTTCAGAGTCAATGCTTTCATGCTGATAAAGGTGATGACTCGTCACTCAACAATTATTGAGCAAGTTATTCCCGTCTCTGGTTCTTAGTTTCTTTTGCTGCAAAAAGGAGGGGTTGGACTGCACAGACTCTAAAGTTCAGTTAAGCACTGGACTAGTACTAGCCAGAAGGTTGGTGGTTCGAATTCACCCAGAGATGCCTTCGAAGACAGGCCTGGCGATCTGCTTCTGAGAGGTCACAGCCTTGAAAACCTTCCGGAGCAGTTCTACTCTGCACACATAGGGGTCGCCATGAGTGAGAATCAAGTCTACGGCAACTAACAACACCAAGGTTCTTTCCAGCCTTAATATTAAGTTCCATTGTCCAATCCTCAACTGGAGCCTTCTGCAGTGTCGCCACCTAGTGTCCCATCAAGCAGTGCAACTACAAATTTGCTAAAACCAGCTCCACTCCCAGTCTTTAACTTCCAGTATCAAAATCACAAACTAAAATCACCTAAGAAGCAATGTGTTGAGGTCTGCTCCATTCCCAAGCTTCTCCCTCTCTCTGACCCTCCACAAAGCTGCACACCATGGTCACAGAGAGAGGTTACCAATTTGGAGTCACTCCAGTAACTGAATTCTTTCCCATCTCTAATAAATATCCTAAGCTGAGCTCTAAACATCATTTCAACTTAGCAATCATTTTATGAACACCCAGTGATACAGATACCAGCAAGCCATAGTTCAGGTCTTAAGATGCTTACACTCAGGAAGGGAGATGAGACATGAAAACAGATTGAGCTATGACGAGGCTGCAAGTAGCATCACCAGAGCAGTGTAAAGAAAGAACTGTGTAGGGGAAGCTGGGAAACAATGGACCAGTAACTTTATCCCACTAGCCCTTGGTTTTCTCATTTGTTATATGAAGTGATTTGTTCAGATGGTTTCCAGCTCTAAAAATCGATGAGTTGACAAAGTGATTTTTGAACTGCATCCCAATCTATCTCAATTCATGTTTCTCTAGTAGTGTGCCAGGTGTAGGGGAAAACAAAGATAAAGGAAACTTGGTCTCTGCTTTCGAAGCACCAACAATCTAATGCAGGGTGGAATGGACTAATACCAGCTATAAATAACTAAAAATAAATGACAAAACCTGATAAAAGTTTCAAAAGAGTTAATATATAAGGACAGAGAGGATTTTAACAGACAAAGATGTTAGGAAAGGGTATCTCAGATTATGGGCTGAGCCAGGAACCTTTAAGGCATGTTGTAGTTCAGTTTGGTTAGCACATGCTAGTCATGAGAAGAGAGGCAGATGATTTGCAGAGTTAGGTCATAAAGGGTCTCGCATGCTCAGCCAGGGAACATGGACTGTATTCTGCAGGCAGTTGGAAGTCACTGAGGTTTTAGAACAGTATTGGCATTGTTAGAACTATGCTTTAAGAATATCACCCATACAGCAGTATTACAACTGAGGGCCAAATGAATGGGGCAGACAGAAAGCCAACAAGGGTTTGAACTACAAGCTGCCATACAAAAGGGGCCAAGGGGAGGGGGATAAGAGTGACATTATGGAGTTAGAGTCCATATGACTATAAGTAAGGCACAGGGGCAAGTGCCAGAAGAGTTGAAGATGACACTAAGTTTTTGGTCCTGGATCACTGGTGATGCCTTAACAGAAATCAAGGCCAAAAGGGCAGGGTTGTGTGTTCCATTTTTCATATTCTGAATATAAAGTGTTAACAGGACTTGTAAGTGGAGATGACAAATCACTGGAATCACTGACAAATCAAGCAAGTCACAAAATGTTAGAGCCGGAAGGGACTTAGATCACCTAGACCGAACCTCTCATTTAGAAACAAGGAAACTGAAGCCCTGATATTAAGTAACTTGCCGACGCCCTAAATCCTTTCTGGAACAAGGTGGGGTATTAATATGCATTTGTTTAAAGGGACTTGCCCAATGTCTCATGTTTAATTAGTGGCAGCACTGAAACCTGAACCCAGTTCTCTTACTAGTCCAAGGCTCTTTCCTCAATCATTGGATAGTTCTAGAACTCAAGAGAGAGATGAGGACTAGAAAGAGGCCTCAGTGGAAACCACCTTAGAGCTGAGGAAGTGACTGAGGATGCTGAGGTTGTGGAACAGTAAGAGTTGAGGCCTGAGGACAAAACTCTGGGATTACCTACTATGCTCTTCATCCCTTTTCCACCATCACCCCCCTTCATTACTGCAAACCTCTTCCCCACTACCTCCTCTGAAGTTCTCAAACTTTTCTAGCTTTTCCCTAAATTTCTCTCCACCTGTGCTCACCTCTGTTAACTCCAAACCAACTGCTGTCGAGTTGATCCCGACTCACAGCAACCCTAAAGGAATGCCCCGTAGGGTTTCCAAGGCTGTAAATCTTGACGAAAGCAGACTGCCGCATCTTTCTCCCACAGAGCTGCTGGTGGGTTCAAACCATTGACCTTTTGGTTAGCAGCCAAGCAGTTTAACCACTGCACCACCAAGGGTCCTTCTATTAACTCCAGTGGTTGCCAAATCTGGGCTTTCTGGTGCCTTCTCAGGCTTTTCCTTCTACTTGACCTCCCCCAGCAATTCTGTGGAAATCTTAGCCAACCTCAAGACCTCACTCAAATGCCATCTCCATTCATTCATTCATTCACTCACTCACTAAATAGCTATTGAATGTCTGCTACATTTAGTGCAGGATATACAACAGGAAGACAAAAAACAAAACAACAAAGGGGACAGACAGACATGGTTCCTGCCCTCATTAAATGTATAATGAAGACAGACAACATATAAAACAGATAAATAACTGTGTAACATGGTATCTAAATTGAGGTATGAACAAGTTTCTTGAGAGCTTAGAGAAGGGAGTGAGAGGAATGCTTCACCCTGGAGCTGTCTTTTGAGATGGGTCTTAAAGGATGATTAAAAGTTTCCAGTTAGGAAGTTAAAAGTATGCAGAGAAAAACTAAGACCAAGCATCATATTTTATTCATTTCTATTTTTCTAAGCACCAGGTTTAATATGTGTTAAGCTAGAAGTCTTCAATTGTTGACATATTTCCATGAAGAAAGACAATAACCAGGGGAACTGTTATTAAGCATGTAAATTAGAGTGGTCTGTTAAAATTGAAGTACTTTTACTTGATTCATTTTGGCTCACCTTACAATTTAGCTAAAAAGAAAGACCAAATTTACTTCAGTTGTGACCTCTAAAATCACTAGATGTTATATTTAAAATAATTTAAACATGGAAATTAATTTATGTTTGGCAATAAAGGTAAAAAAACAAATTGGTGAGTTTTTACATTCTCAACTACCACTTTGGTAATTGACTTTTTGGAAATTATTCCTACTTGAGTTCAAGCAGCTGCCTCTGGGCTTGTTTTCTATAGGGAAACAGGAGACCTCTAGTGGTAAATTAGTCAATTTAGCTTGAATGAATTAAAAAAAAAATCAATTAAAAGCAGGTTGAAAAATTTTAAAAATAACCAAACCCACTTCTGTCAAGTCAATTCTGACTCATAGCGGCCCTACGGGACACAGTAGAAGTGCCCCACAGGTTTCCAAGGCTGTGATCTTTATGGAAGCAGACTGCCACATCTTCCTCCCACTGAGTGGTTGGTGAGTTCAAACCACAGACCTTTCGGTTAGCAGCCAAGGGCTTTAACCACTGAACCACCAGGACTCCTTGGTTGAAAAATAACCACTACTAATTTACTGCTGCCATAAATAATCCAGTAATTAACATTATTTAAACTAAACTAAAATAAACTTCTTACTGTCACAACATGGCTTAGATCCACAAGTTTGTAACAAACTTTCTAAGTTTCAGTTGTTTGTGGCATCAAGGCCAGACCACTAATGTATTATTCAAAATAGGATATTATACAAAGTGTTTTCTGAATAGGTTTGATTCATAGTTTTTCTGTTTGCATAAAAAACAATCAGTTTTTTAAAGTGGAAACTCCTATTTTACATATTAAATGCAATTACTTAGGCAGGTGATTCAGAGTGATGGCTAAGAAACTGTGTACCTTTTAAACTTGGTAGTTGTCAAAAAAGATTGAACTAGTGCACTAGTTCTTGAGGGCACTAAAATGTGGAGAGAGGAGTGGGTTGGCATCAGAATAGTTTTTTTTTTTTTTTTCCAAATTATTCCCCCATCCAACCACAAATCACCCATTATTCATGCCAGTTCTTATTCCTAAGGTGTGTAGGATGCGTACAGTCTGATGAAATAGACCAACAGAGCTATTCATTAGGAATTGGAAGCAAAGGTCGCAAAAGTGGTTCCTAGGCCAAGGTCACATGGCAGTCACTGAACTAATTTCTCATAAAGTCTGTCCCAGATGGAAGAGGGTAAACATGAATTCTCAGCTGAGGAGGGTGGTGTCAGGAGTACAAATGTCTCTAACCACAAGGCAGTACAGAGGATATGAAAGCAAGGTGGACTCTTGATTTGAAACTACTTAATTGAAACAACCTAATGTACAGCCAAATGGAGGTGGGGTGCGCTAGGACTGTAAACAGAAAAATATTTATAAAAAGAACATGTGTACTGTGAGTTTTTTCATCCTTCCTATACTAAGAAACACATACTCAAAACCACACCGTCATGAAAAAATCACTACTATGGGCCTAGCTAACCCATGAAAGTCTGACCACAGTCCATTAAGATGTATAATTCTATATTCAACCTAGCAACAAATCACCTATCTCCTGTGCAAACCAAAAAATAAACATCTCCACTCCACATCTATCAGAATGGTTAAAATGAAAAATAATGACAATCTCAAATGCTAGCGAGGATGAGCAGAAACTGTATCATTCATACATTCCTAGAGGGAACGTACAATGTTACAGCCATTCTGGAAAAGAGCACAGCAGTTTCTTACAAAACTAAACACGCGCTTACCATATGACCCACAACAATTGCAGTCTTAGGCATTTATCCCAGAGAAATGGAAACTTATCTTCACACAAAAACCTGTACATGAAATGTCCACAGTAGCTTTACTCCTAATAGCCAAAAACTGGAAACAACTCAGCTAAATTTCAATGGGTGAATGGTTAGACAAACTCTGAACAGTACTCAGCAATACAAAGGAACAAACTGTTGATACACACAACCACCTGGATGAATCTCCAGAGAATTATTCTCAGTGGAAAAAATCAACCCCTAAATGTTACATGCTGTATGAACCCATTCATATAACATTCCTGAAATTGCAAAATTACAGAAATGGAGAACAGATAGTGGTTGCCAGGGCTAGAGGGGAGAGGGAGCATTTGAGAGGGAGGTGAGCGTGGTTACAAAAGGGGAAGACGGATCCTTACAGTGATGGGACTATGCAGAATCTTACTGTGGCAGTGAATGCATGAACCTACACGTGATAAAAATTGTTTAGAACTAACTATACACATGAGTACAAGTAAAACTGGAAAATCTAAATAAGACCAGTGGATTGTATAGGATTCTGGTCATGATATTGCACTACTACACGATGTTATCATTGGGAAGACTGGGTAGAGGGTACACAGGATCTCATTTCTTACAACTGGATGTGAATCTACTATTGTCTCAAAATGAAAGTTTAATTTAAAAAATAACCATCTCTATTTTCTCATTTGTAACGGAGCAAGCAGGTAACATTTTACATTGCTTCCACAAATAAAGCAAAATTTGTACAATTGTCCAGCCTGTAGAATTATTTAAACATCATAAAGACCATCATTCACCCAGGGCTTCACTGTGTTAAACACCTGACAAGCCTTATCTCGTGTAATCTATCTCAACAGCCCTCTGAGGAAGACATTGCTACTACTCTTGGTTCAGAGGAGAGTCTGAGGGAGAGATGAAATGACTTCCCAAAGTCACCAAGAGAATACGTGCCAAGATTCAAACAGGCCAGTAAAGTCCTTCCAGCAATAAAGTTCTATCATTCTATTTTTGTTTTGTTCCACTGCTCTGCTCTAAAAATTAAAAACTGCCTTCAAGCACAGAGAACGGGTAAGGTTAAGAATTAAACTGGCAGGGGGATAGAGAATCACATAATTTTACAGCTAGAAGGGCCTTTAGAGATTACTGAGCTCACCTCTTCATTTTACAGACAAGGAAACAGAGGTGAAGTGACTTGCTCAGGGGAGTCGCTGGTTCCAAGCCCATATAACATATCTGAAACTGTACCTCGGTCCACTATTTAAGAAGAGGACACAGATTGCTAAAATATGGCGGAGACCGAGCTGTCTGGTCACCGAGTACCCCAGTGCCCGGTGGAGAAGAGCGGCTTGATATTTATAGGACGAATAAATGATTGAATGAATGACACCCTCAGGAACCCCATCAAAAGAAGCTCATAACACTTCAGGCTAGCAGGCGTTGCCACGACAAAAAAAGCGCCTCCGTTCTGAGCCACAGCAAGAGCCGGACAGGGAGCGCCCCTTCGGAGGAGACCGGGTTGGACCGGGCCGCTGGCGCGGCCGAGCGGGGCGGCACCTAGATGGAGGAAAGGACAGGGGGCCGCTGGGCCCGCCCAAACGAGAGTTCTTGCCGTCATCACGCCGAGACTTTCTCCCGCGGCCTTCAGTCCGCTCGGCGGTGAAAATCGAAGACGGGCGGCTTGGCAGCCCAGGTTTTCGATCGGCCCGGCGATGGGAGACCGGAAAGGGCAGACCATAAGCACGACCCGAGCCCCGCGTCGCTCGGGGCCTACCCCTCCTACTCACAGCGTCGGAGAGACGGAGGGAGGGAGCGAGCGAGCGTCCCCCGCATCTACGGCGGCGCCGGCCTGCCTTTCGCCCTCAGCCGCGCGCGTCCATTGGTCGTCGCCTACCTCTACCACGTGAGGCAAAGGCGCGCGCCTCATTGGCCCCGACGTGGATAGGCGCGGCGACCGGGTCAGTGTCGGGCTCAAGTGGCCGCTTCTGGTGGGTGAGAAAGGGCTGGGGGTGTGCGCGATGTTGCGGACACTGCGCTACTTGGGCGGTGCCTGCGGGCTGGCCGGCGGGGACTTCCCCGCAGCGTGCGGGCTCTCGCGAGGGAGGCCCTGGCTGCTGCGCAGAGTCTGTCGCTGTGGCCGCAGCGCCAGCACTAGGTGAGTGGCCGCTGGCCGGCGCCCGCCGCCTTTGCTGCTTCTGCGCTCAGAGGTGGCCTGTGCAGGACCGATGGTCTTGCTCGTACTCCTTGTCCCGTGAATCAAAGGTCAGGGCCCTATGGAGCCCAGGCTCCAACCTAGGATCCCAGGAACTACTTGCAGGTTGCATTCATTGTATTTGTGGGCCAAAGGAAAAAGAATAGAGGCAGTGTTGCGAGGTCAAGAACAATTCTGAGTTTGAATACAAACTCTCCACTTGAAGCTTAACTTTGAGCGGTCTACTTTAACCTCCTTAAAGGCTCAGTTGTGAATAGGATCCTATTCTCTCCCGTAGGTGGTGGTTTTGAGAATGAAATGACTCAACACGCTGTAAGCAATTAATAAATAATGCTGTTTATTAGCTGGCATCCCTGGTGTTGCTTGGAAGATCTGGAACCGGTCTTAAATTAGCCAGTTCCTAGTGCACAGTGCGTAGGGTTGCCCCTGTGAGAAGCAACTGCAGAATTCGATGTCCTGTGGTGTGAAGTTGGAAGTCACATTTGAAATTACCGTTTGCCCTCTTTAGAGAAATGATTTGTGCAAGGGCATTAAGGCTAGAAAGCTCTCTGCTAATTCGAGGACTAGAAGATGGGCAATATGAATATGACTGGAGCTTAGTGTAATAGATGATGTGGAATGAGGCTGGAGAGGGGCTGCATCACAGCAGAGTTTTTATTCTATTTTAACCAGACATTGAAATTTATTCTGAGAGCAATGGGAGCTATTAAAGGGCTTTAAGAAAGGGAATGCTTAAATGTTGATGTTTCAGAAGTTGATTCTGGCTGCTGTGTATTAGTGGGGTAATAGGATTTGTGATTAATTGTAGGTGATGTAGACAATTCTTTTGGAAGGTTTCTTAAGAATAGGGTTAGTGAAGGGTTTTGCTTTTACTTTTTATTTTGAAATAATTATAGATCCATAGAAATTTGAAGAAAAAAAAAAAAAGTACAGAGAGGTCCCCTGTATCCTTCATTCAATTTTCCCCATAAGTAATAGTTTACATAACTATAGTACAATATGAAAACTAGGAAGTTGACATTGGTACAAACCACAGACCTTGTTTAGATTTCACCAGTTTTACATGTACTCATTTGTGCACGTGTGTGTGTATGTGTACTTCTATGCAGTTTAATCAAATGTGTAGATTTGTGTAACCCCCTCACAATTAAGATACAAAAATGTTCCGTTACTACATGTGCTACCCCTTTATATTCACACTCATCTCTTCACAGCCACTAATCTGTTCATTTCTTTAATTTTGTCATTTTGAGAATAAGTGGAATCACACAATATGTTATCTCTTGAGACTGGCTGTTTTCATTTAGCATAGTCTCCTTGAGATTACCCAGGTGGTTGTATCAATAGTTCATTCCTTTGTGTTGCTGAGTACTATTCCATGGTATGTATGTACCAAAGTTTATCTAACCATTCACTCATTGAAAAACATCTGGATTATTTCCAGTTTTTGGCTATTATGAATAAAGCTACTATGAACATTGGGTACATTCTTGTGTAATCATAGTTTCCTTTTCTCTGGGATAAATGTCCAAAAGAGCAACTGGTGGGTCTTATGGTAAACATATGGTTAGTTTGATTAGAAAATGACATATTCTTTTTCCACAGTGGCTGTACTATTTTATAGCAATGTACTGGAGCCCTGGTGGCACAGCGGTTGTTAGTCTGGCTGCTAACCAAAAGGTCTGCAGTTCAAATCCACCAGCCAGCTGCTGCTTGGAAACCCTATGGGGCAGTTCTGTTCTGTCCTATAGGGTCGCTATGAGTTGGAATCGACTTGAGGGCGGCAGGTTTCATTTGGGTTTATTAGCGATCCAGTTTCTCCTCATGCTCGCTAGTAGTTGGTGTTACCATTTTTTATCATTTTAGCCATTTTGATAGGTGTGTAGTGATACCTCATTGTGCTTTGAATTTACATTTCTTTAATGCCTAATGATGTTGAACATCTTTTCATGTGCTTATTTGTCATCCACGTATCCTCTTTCAAGAAATATCTATCTTTTGCCTTTTTTCTAATTGGATTGTTTTGAAAATTCTTTATATATTCCAGATATGAGTCAGTTGTTAGATATGTGATTTACAAATATATTCTTCCAGTAGGTTGATTGTCTTTTCATGCTCTTAACAGAGTCTTTTGAAGAACAAAAGTAATAATTTTAATGAAGTACAGTTTACGATTTTTCTTTCTTTTATAGGTAGTGCTTTTGGTGTCAACTCTTCACCTAGCCCTAGGTCCTGAAGATTTTCTCCTAAAAGTATTGTAGTAAATATTTGATAATATAAAAATTTATTGTTAATTTTTTTTAGTTATGATGATGGTATTGTGGTTGTGTGTGTTTTTAAAGAGGCATTTTGGCGATGTCGTTGTTGTTGTTGTTAGGTGCCGTCAAGTCGGTTCTGACTCATAGCGACCCTATGTACAACGGAATGAAACACTGCCCAGTCCTGTGCCATCCTTACAATTGTTGTTATGCTTGAGCCCATTGTTGCTGCCACCGTGTCAGTCCATCTCCTCGAGGATCTTCCTCTTTTGCTCTGACCCTCAACTTTACCAAGCATGATGTCCTTCTCCAGGGACTGGTCCCTCCTGATAACGTGTCCAAAGGTATGAGAGAAGAAGTCTCACCATCCTTGCTTCTAAGGAGCATTCTGGCTGTACTTCTTCCAAGATAGATTTGTTTGTTCTTCTAGCAGTCCATGGTATATTCAGTATTCTTCACCAACATCGTAATTCAAAGGCGTCAATTCTTCGATCTTCCTTATTCTTTGCCCAGCTTTTGCATGCTTATGAGGTGACTGAAAACACCATGGCTTGGGTCAGGTGCATCTTAGTCCTTAAAGTGACATCTTTGCTTTTTAACACTCTACCAAGAGGTCTTTGCAGTAGATTTGCCCAGTGCAATGCATTGTTTGATTTCTTAATTGCTGCTTCCATGGGAGTTGATCCTGGATCCAAGGAAGCTGAAATCCATGACAACTTCAGTCTTTTCTCCATTTATCATGATGTTGCTTATTGGTCCAGTTGTAAGGATTTTTGTTTTCTTTATGTTGAGGTGTAACCTATACTGAAGGCTGTAGTCTTTGATCTTCATCCCAAAAACCCATTGCCATTGAGTCAATTCTGACTCATAGTGACCCTATAGGACAGAGTAGAACTGCCCTGTAGGGTTTCTAAGGAGCAGCTGATGGATTCAAACTGCTGAACTTTTGGTTAGCAACCGAACGCTTAACCATGGTGCCACTAAGTGCTTCAAGTCCTCTTCATTTTCAGCAAGCAGGGTTGTGTCATCTGCATTTCTCAGGTTATTAATGAGTCTTCCTCCAGTCCTGATGCCCCGTTCTTCATATAGTCCAGCTTCTGGGATGACTTGCTCAGCATACAGAGTGAATAAGTATGGTGAAAGGATACAACCCTGACGCACACCTTTCCTGATATTAAACCACACAGTATCCCCTTGTTCTGTTTGAATGACTGCCTCTTGATCTATGTACAGATTCCTCATGAGCACAGTTAAGTATCCTGGAATTCCCATTTTTCGCAGTGTTATCCATGATTTGGTATGATCCACACAGTCGAAAGCCTTTGCATAGTCAATAAAACACAGGTAAACATCTTTTCGGTATTCTTTGCTTTCAGCCAAGATCCATCTGACATCAGCAGTGATAACCCTTGTCCCACATCCTCTTCTGAGTCCGGCTTGAATTTCTGGCAGTTCCCTGTTGATGTACTGCTACAAACACTTTTGAATGATCTTCAGCAAAATTTTACTTGCATGTCATATTAATATTATTTGAAAATTTCTACATTCTGTTGGATCACCTTTCTTTGGAATAGGCATAAATATGGATCTCTTCTAGTCAGTTGGCCAGGTAGCTGTCTTCCAAATTTCTTAGCATGGATAATTGAGCACTTCCAGGCTGCATCTGGTAGAGATAACATATTGAAATATTTATGGATGAAATAAGGTGATGTTTGGGTTTTGCATAAAAATAATAGAGGAGAGAGTGAGATATATATAGATGAAGCAAGATTGACCATAAGTTGATAATTATTGAAACTAGGTGATGGGTACATGGGGCTCATTATACCATTCTGTCTGCTTTTATCTGTCTGTCCAACTATTATGTTTGAACATTTCTATAATAAAAACTTTTTGAAAAAAAGAGTTATCTGTTAAACTGCTCATTAGTGTTGGCTTGAGACAGACTTTTGGAGAAAAATATCCCCTTCAGCCTCCATGATTAACTTGGCCCTTGAATGTCCTCCAGTGATCATAATTGTTATCCTGGGCACCTTTCCTCATTGTGGACACTTGGGAGTTTGTGCTTTAGTTTGTGAAGCATATTTCAATGATTGATGAGGTGCAGGCTCACTGAATAATGATTCTTAAGGTTTGGCAGAAGGGAGTGAAGAGTGGCGTGTGTAATTGGAAAAAGCATATTTAGTATTATAGCTTTATGTTTGAAAATGAAGTGTTTATTGATGGTTGTAATAAAATGTACAAAAACAAGAGCCAAGAAAACTTTTTGGCTAGGAGGCTATGCCAAAACAGTGACTCTCAGTGGAAGGACTGCCTCACCAAAGGGTTTTATGCTTTATTTATCAAAAAGCAGCAAGGATGAGAAACACTATTATAGAAGTCAGAACCACCACTGCAAAGTCATGCCACCTTTTACAGAAATGCAAGTCTTGAAGGCAAAGCAAGGCATTATAGCTTATCTTGAAGATAAGCAAGTAAGAAAAAAACAGTATGAGAGACCATGCACACATACACACACGCACACACATTCACACACGGAAGAGAGAAAAGTACGTAAAAGATCACTAACTCATAAACTTAGCAGTATCTTAAGTATTTATAAATGCTTTGAACACCTGCTTAGTAGAAGATACTAGAGGTTTTGGGGAAATATAAAGCCTGTTTTAAACACAGTAGTTTTAGGTATTCATCTGAAATTCTTTAAAGCTGGTTTTTTTGGTTTTGTTTTTTAAACATCATAAAAGATCTACTTATTGTGAAAGTTATATAAGGGATCAATAGCTACAAATCAGTGTAAGTAACTATAGTGGAATGTGAGTACTTTACCTTTAATCTAGTGAAATTTATGTTTAAAAAAAAGAAACTGTTTGAAGCCTTGGACTTCTACATACACTCTGATCACAGGAATTTTTAAGTTGACCACTGCAAGCGTTTACTGGTAACTGCTATTGACACAGTGGACCCAGAATCTCATTTTATGTATGCTGTTCTTTTTATAGCCTCTCTTCTTAAATGGGAGCCTTGGTGGCACAGTGGTTAAGAGCTTGGCTGCTACACTACAGGGGAAATCAGCACAACTGGACTAAACCAAAGCTAAGAAGTTTCCTGAATACAATCAAACAATTCGAGGGACAGAGTAGCAGGGGCAGGGGTCTGGGGATCATGCTTTCAGGGGACATCTAGGTCAATTGACATAACAAAGTTTATTAAGAAAATGTTCTGCATCCTGTTTTGATGAGTGGTGTCTGGGGTCTTAAAAGCTAGCAAGCGGCCTTCTAAGATGCATCAATTGGTCCCAACCACCTGGAGTAAAGGAGAATGAAGAACACCAAAGACACAAGGAAGGTATTAGTCCAAGAGAGACAAAGGGCCACATAAACCAGAGACTTCATCAGCCTGAGACCAGAAGAACTAGATGGTACCTGGCTACCACCAGTGACCACCTTGACAGAGAATACAACAGAAAGTCCCTGATGGAGCAGGAGAAAGGTGGGGTGCAGAACTCAAATTCTAGTAAAAAAAAAACAGATTTAATTGTCTGACTGAGCCTGGAGGAACCCCCAGACTCTCTGTCAGTCCAGAACTAAAACAATTCCTGAGGCCAACTCTTCAGATAAAGATTGGACTGGACAGTGGGACATAAAATGATACTTGTGAAGAGTGTGCTTCTTAGCTCAGGTAGATACATGAAACTAAATGGGCAGCTTCTGTCCAGAGGTGAGATGAGAAGGCAGAGAGGGTTAGGAGCTGGTTGAATGGACATGGGAAATCAGGTGGAGTGTGCTGTCACAGTATAGGGAGAGCAGTTAGGGTCATATAACAATGTATGTATAAATTTTGTATGAGAGAATAACTTGAAATATAAACTTTCACTTAAACTACAACAATAAACAAAAAATTAAAATTTAAATTTAAAAAAAGGGCTTGGCCGCTAACTAAAAGGTCGGCAGTTCGAATCCACCAGCTGCTCCTTGGAAACCCTATGAGGCAGTTCTACCTTGTCTTACAGGGTTGCTATGAGTCAGAATCGACTTGATGGCAACAGGTTTGGTTTGGTTTTCTTAAATGTGGGCTTGTTCACTATCACATGCACACCTTGGTAACCATTTCATCCAACTAGCTAAAGGTGCTGCAAGTGAGAACCACCTGTTGAGCACCACCTGGAGGCTTTCCCAGTCCAAATTTAAGGCGCGTGCATTTAAAGGCGTGAACTTTAGGCTCTTAGGACTTCCAAATTAAGATGCAGATTTTGATTTATCGGGCACATGTGGCTTTGTCCCTGGTTGTCCAGTAGCTGTTTCTGGTTCCAGATGTAGCCATAGATATGGTAACAAATATAATCAAATTGATATGCTTCTGCCAGTAATTTTGAAATTGAAACCTCAGATCATTTTTCAAAGGAAGGGCTTGAACTTGAAATTTCCTCACCCTACTGGTCCTATGAAACCTAGATTTGTTGACTATAAATTGTCATTGCAAAGTTAGATATCTTAAACATGCCCCTTCAAATTTTTTCAGTGGTTGTGTAATCAGAGTTTGTCATGGCTAAAATTGTGGTTCCGAGCCCATTCCTGGGCCATTTATTTCTCTAAAATTTGATGTATTCACTGGCTGTTTGCTGCACTTGAATTTTAAAAGGACAGGTAGTAGAGGAGTGTGGTGCTTAACCCAAAGGAATCACTGATATAACCAAACTGGAGTGGGTACTGTGGAGAGTTAGGGTGGCTTGGGCAACTAGCCACCTGCCTAACGGTAGGATGTAGGGTGTAGCTGATTATACTACTGACCAGCAATATGTGTAACTTTTAGAAGATTGTTCCTGAATGTAGAAACAAATAGCACAAGGCCCAACAAATGTTTGATTTTAATGATCACAAATTAGTAATGTAATTGTCCACTGGTGATAAAAATTAGACAAGTGAAGTTTGGTGAGGTCTGCTGTGAACAGGTATTACTTTAAAGGAGATTTTCTCTTACAGCTCATTTGATGTAGTCATTGTCGGTGGTGGAATTGTGGGGCTTGCCTCTGCCAGAGCACTCATACAGCGGCATTCAGCCCTTTCCCTTGGTCTTCTGGAAAAGGAGAAAGATTTAGGTATGTATGTTATTAGTGTTCTTCTTCTGGCTTACCTGAGCACCTGCTCATTTTGTCAGTGCTGCATCTTTCATGCTGAATGTTGATGTTAGTATCTTCATCTGGGTTCTCCTGAAAGCAAAGTCTGAGACAAGAACTTGGATGTTGATGATTCATTTGAAAGGTTATCCCAGGAGGCAGGGATGAGGGAGTAGAAAATTAAGATAGGGAAGGAAGAAAAGCCAGGTGAGGGTACATTATCAGTGTCACTGCTGTGAGCTTGATTCCACTTGGACCTCTGAGGAGACACCTAATGTTTTCCAGGATTGTGCTTATTTATCCATCAGCTCCTGTCCTTATTGGTTGAGGATTGCCTCTAAGGGTGTTGAAGTTTCCTCGAGCACCCCTCAAACATATTAGAAAAGGCCCTGGGGCAGAATGCGGAGAGCCATAGGGGCCCTTGAAGTGATTTGCTGGTAGCAAGAAGTGAGTCTGCACTAGAGTTGTAGCTGAAATCAGGAATGAACTGGGGGAATAGGACACGAACACCAGGGGCAGTTGCTATAGGAAATTACCAGCACTCTAATTCTAAAAACAAATTCAGACAGAATTTTAAATGATGTAGTCTCCAGTAACTTCAAATATATAAGCTTGTTCCCCCACTTCTTAGGTTTTGAGTGAGTGATGTACTTTTTCTCACCCAGTTTATCTTGTTCGGTAGCTCTTCACCAGACTGGACATAACAGTGGTGTCATACATAGTGGAATTTATTATAAACCTGCATCTCTGAAAGCTAAATTATGTGTACAAGGTGCAGCCCTCATCTATGAGTACTGTAGCAAAAAGGGAATTTCCTACAAGCAATGTGGCAAGGTATGTATGGCATTTTACTTGGGCAATGACTTATTTATAACTAGTATTTTCTTGGTGATGTTTAATATTGAAAAAACCTTGACTTTTTCTTCCTTTCTATCTATATGTGTAGTTTATGAACTCTAATGTTAGGCAATAACTTAAAAGAAATTATGGTATGACTAACTGATTTTTAAATAACAGTTTCATTGAGATTTAATTTACATACCATATTATCCACCTTTTTAAAGTATACAGTTTAGTTTTTAGTATATTCACAGGGTTTTACAGCCATCACTACTGTCTAATTTTAGAACATTTTCATCACCCGCAAAGGAATCTCGTACCCATTACCAGTCACTCCCCATTCTTCCTTCCTCCATCTCCTGGCAAATACTAATCTACTTTTTGTCTGTATGGATTTGTGTATTGTGGACATTTCATATAAGTGGAATCATATAATGTGTGGTCTTTTGTGACTAACTTATTTTACTTAGCATAATGTTTTCAAGGTTTATTATGTTGTAGTATGTATCAGTACTTCATTTCTTTTATTGCCGAATAGTACTCCATTGTATGGATATACCACATTTTGTTTACCCGTTCATCAGTTGATGGGCATTTTGGTTGCTTCCACTTTTTGGAGCTTATAATGCTACTGTGAACATTAGTGCACAGGTTTTTGTTTGGATATGTGTTTTTAATTATTTTGGGTATGTACCTAGGAGGGGAATTGCCAGGTCAAATGGTAACTCTATGTTTAGCATTTTGAGGAACTGCCAAACTGTTTTCCAAAGTGCTGCACCATTTTATATTTCCATGAGAATTCCAATTTTTCCACATCTTTGCTAATACTTGTTACTGCCTGTCATTTTTATTTTAGACTTCCTAGCAGATGTGAAGTGGTATCTCATTGTGGCTTTGATTTGCATTTCCTCATTGATTAATGATGTTGAACATCTTTTCATGTGCTTATTGTCCATTCATATATCTTCTTTGGAAGAATGTCTGTTCAAATCATTTGCCCATTTTTTAACTGGTTATTGTCTTTTTATTATTGAATTGTAAGAGTTCATTTTATATTCTGAATATAAGCCTTGTATCAGGTATATATGATTTGTAAATATTTTATCTCATTCTGTACATTTTCTTTTCACTTCCTTTTTTATTTTGATGAATAGGTTTATTAACTTTTCTTTGTGGTTACCTTGAAATTCACCCTTAACCTCCTAAGTTTGAACAAGTCTTTTATTACTTGATATCACCATGACATCTTCTCTATTTGAAAGTTCTATACCTACACCGTTTATTCTCCGTTTTATTTTGACGCTGTCGTCATTTACAGATTGACATCTCTTTCCCTGTTTTGAGTCTTTTAGCTTTGTTTTATTATTGAGAGTTCTTTACCTAGGTTGGTATCTGGCTGATGCCGTCCTGTGTCCCAGACGCTGGTTGTTGTCTGATGTCATCAGTTCTGTAACCGAAGGAGTCTCTTTAATATTTCTTATAAGTTTGGTTTGGTTTTTACAAATTCTCTTAATTTCTGCTTATCTGGAAATGTCCTAATTTCACCATCGTATTTGAGAGAGTTTTGCAGGATATATTATTCTTGTTTGGCAGTTTTTTTCTTTTCACTTTCTTGATGATGATCTTTGAAGAGCAAAATTTTAAACTTTTTATGTAATCTAATTTATCTATTTTTTTTCTTTTGTTGCTTGTTCTTTTGGTGTGTTATCTAAGAAACCATTGCCTAATCTGAGATTACATAGATTTATACCTATGTTCTCCTAACAGTTTTATAGTTTTAGTTCTTATATATATAGATCTATGATCACTTTTGATTTAATTTTTGTGTATGGTATGAGGTAGGGGTCCAATGTCATTCTTTTGCATGTGGATATACAGTTGTGTCAACACCATTTGTGGGAAAGACTATTATTTCTCCATTAATTGTCTTGGCACCCTTATTGAAAATCAGGTGAGCATAAATGTAAGGGGTTTGTTTCTGGACTGTCAATTCTATTGCATTGGTATGTATGTCTATCCTTGCCAGTAGCACACTATCTTGCTTTCTGTAACTTTGAAACCAAGAAGTGTGAGTCCTCCAATTCTGTTCTTTTTCAAGATTTTTTTTGGCTCTTTTGGGTTCTTTGTATTTCCATATGGATTTTAAGATCGGCTTGTCAATTTCTACAAAAAAAGGAAGCTGGGATTTTGATAGGGATTTCATTGAATCTGTAGATCAAGTTAGGGAGTATTGCCATCTTTAACAATATCAAATCTTCCAGTCCATGAACTTGGTTTGTCTTTCTGTTTAGTCTTCTTTAATTTCTTTAGATTAAACAGTGCTTTGTAGTTTTCAGTGTACAAGTTTTGCACTTGTTTGGTTAAATTTATTCTTAAGTATTTTATTCTTTCTGATGCTATTGTGAGTGAAATTGTTTTCTTAATTTCATTTTTAGATTGTTCATTGCTAATGAATAGACATAAGATTATTTTTGTATATTGATCTCTTACCCAGCACATTGCTGAACTTATTTATTCTAATTGTTTTTTGTGAATTCCTTAGGATTTTCTACATGCAGGATCATATGGAAACTCCTAAAGAATCCACAAAAAATATTAGAACTAATCTCCGAATAAGATAGTTTTAGCTTTTTTCCAATTTGGATGCATTTTTATATCTTTTTCTTAGCTAATTGCTCTGCGTAGAGCCTCCATTCAATGTTGAACAGAGGTGGCGAAAGCAAATATCCAGGTGTTGTTCCTAATCTTAGGGGTAAAGTATTCAGTCTTTCAAAATTAAATATGATGTTGGCTATGGGTTTTTTGTAGATGCCCGTTATGAGGTTGAGGAAGTTTTTTTCCTATTGCTAGTTTATTGGTGGTTTTTATCATGAAAGCATGTTGGCTTTTCTCCAATACTTTTTCTGCTTTTATTGAGGTGATCATGTGGTTTATTATTAATATAGTGTATTACATTAATTGACTTTTGGATGTTAAAATAATCTTGCATTCCTGTGATAAGTACCTCTTGGTCATAATATATAATCCTTTTTATATATTACTGAATTCAGTTTACTAGTATTTTATTGAGGATTTTTGCATCAATATTCATCAGGAATTTGGGGCTGCAGTTTTATTTTCTTGTGATGTCTTTGTTTGGTTTTGGTATCAGGCTAATATGGGCCTCGCAGAATAACCTGGGAAGTGTTCCCTTCTCTTCTATTTTTTGGAAGAGTTTATAAAGAATTGTTAATAATTCTGCTTTAGACATTTGGTGGCATTCATTAGTGAAGCCTGCTGGGCCTGGGTTTTCCTTTGTGGGAAGTTTTTAAATTACAGTCATGATGTCACTGAATATCCATGATATGTTCTGTGAAATAAGGCATTTTATGTAATTTGGACATTGTACAAACACCATATTATATACAGGCAGTCCCTGGGTGTCAAGGATTGAATTTTGTCCCCCAAAAATACCTGTCAACTTGGCTAGGTCATGATTCCCAGTATTGTATGATTGTCTACCATTTTGTCATCTAATGTGATTTCCCTATGTGTTGTAAATCCTATCAGTATGATGAAATAAGATGGATTAGTGGCAGTTATATTGATGAGGTCTACAAGATTAGATAGTGTCTGTCATGGATTGAACTGTGTCCCCCAAAAAATGTGTGTAACAATTTGGCTAGGCCATGATTCCCAGAATTGTGTGGTTGTCCTCCATTTTGTGATTGTAATTTTATGTTAAAGAGGATTAGAGTAGAATTGTAACACCCCCTTACTCAGGTCACATCCCTGACCTAATGTAAAGGGAGTTTCCCTGGGGTGTGGCCTGCACCACCTTTTATCTCTTGTAAGAGATAAAAGGAAAGAGAAGCAAGCAGAGAATTGGGGACCTCATACCATCAAGAAAGCAGTGCCAGGAGCAGAGTGCGTCCTTGGGACCGGGGTCCCTGCGCAGAGAAGCTCCTAGTCTGAGGGAACACCAAAGAGAAGAAAGCCGACAGAAAAAGCCTTCCCCTGGAGCTGATGCCCTGAATTTGGACTTTTAGCCTACTTTAACTGTGAGGAAATAAACTTCTCTTCGTTAAAACCATCCACTTGTGGTATTTCTGTTATAGCAGCACTAGATGACTAAGACAGTGTCTTAAGCCAATCTCTTTTGAGATATAAAAGAGAGAAGTGATCAGACAGATGAGGGGATCTTATACCACCAAGAAAGCAGTGCCAGGAGCAGAGCAGGTCCTTTGGACCTGAAGTTCCTATGCTGAGATGCTCCCAGACTGAGGGAAGACTGATGCATTACAAGGACCTTCCTCCAGAGCTGACAGACAGGGAAAGTCTTCCCCTGCAACCGGTGCCCTGAATTTAGACTCCTAGTCTACTGGACTGTGAGAGAATAAACTTCTCTTTGTTGAGGCCATCCACTTGTGGTATTTCTGTTATAGCAGCATTAGATGACTAAGACACCAGGTTATGAATGTCTGACTTACGTACAACCCATAGTTATGAACTGTGATGGTTAAGGTTATGTGTCAGTTTGTCTGGGCCATGATTCTCAGTGGTTTGGCAGTCATGTAATGATGTAGTTTGGCAGTTACGTAATGATATGGTCATCCTCTGTGATGTTATCTGATGTGATCAGCCAATCAGTTGTAAAGGGAGTTTCCTCAGGAGGATGGCCTGCATCCACTATATATATGGACGTTCTGGCAAAGCTCGCTTACTTGCTTTGGATCCTGCATTGGGCTCATCATCTGATCCTTGGTTCTTGGGACTTGAGCCAGCTGCCTGCCATATTGTCTGCTGATCTTGGGAATCATAAGCCTCCTCAGCCCGTGAGCCAGCTGCCTGCTGTATTGCCTGCCAGTCTTGGGATTTGTCTGCCTCCACGGCCTGTGAGCCAGCAGCCTGCCATCTGACCTGCTAATCTTGGGTTTGTCAGCCTCTGCAACTGCGTAAGTCTTGAGAAGCCTCCAGCCTGACACCTGACCCATGCACTTGGGACTCGCCAGGCTCTACAACCACGTGAGCCATTTCCTTGAGATCTTTCTCTCTGTACATGTATACGCGTCACTGGTTTTGTTTTTCTAGATAACCCAGCCTAAGACACAAACCAACCCCCGCAAAGCCTATTATATTAAAACCTTATGGGAGCCCCCTCCCAGTTGTCCTCATCACTGCTGGATGTCCTTGGTTTATTGATTTCTACCTGATCACTCGAGAAAAGATTCAAGAGGGAGGAGGGCTCCAGCATTTCCCACTGCCCAGATGGCAGGAGCTCTGGAGCACACATACTAAGGCATGGCCCCCATCTCCTGGGGAGGGACTTTGCAGGTGTGAACTGTAGGGTGGGACCTCCAGGGCCCCCCTGGGGCTGGTTGGAGGTCATGGAACAACAGCTGACTTCCCAAGCCAGGTAAGGTAGCCGCATTCACACAGGCTGTGATCTAGGGTTCAGGGGTTCACATCTCATAGACAGAGGTTGAGGCTGTGCCATCAGTCTGCTCCCCTAGTGGGTCATGAACCATCAGCACCCTGGTGGGCCTGGAAGGGTTTAACGAGAGTGAATCATGCAGTGACCAGGGCTGGAGCAGCTGGCTAGGACAGCCTCTCCTTGTACTGTGTCTGCTCGCACAGCTTGGGGGGTTGGCACAGGCCTTGGAGAGGGCTAGAGCCCCTCTGGGACTTGAATCCCACTGGGGTGAGTCCACACAGGTGGGGGGGGGCAGCCAAGCTGAGGAGAGAAGATGGAGGTATGACGTTGATCAAAGCCTGCTAAGCTCAGAGTCCCAACCTCAAGATGCTAAGGCCAAGACGAGCCCCCCATGGCACCATCCCGACACAGAAGGATGTGGTGTGGGACATCAGGAAATGCCTGCTTGTGTCCCTGCTGTTCCAGCCCCTGCCCTACCCTATCCTGCCCTTTTTGTTCGAATGTCAGTGGGCTCCAGTCCTGGATGGCCAGACGTGGCCAATGTGGGTGGCCACTCACGGGCTGTGGGCTGCCCACTTACTTCCCCTGGGAGGCAGAAGTTTCTTTGCTATAAGGGATGAACTTCAGCGAGCTGCTAAATATTCAGAAGCGGGACTACCCCCACTTGGCACCGTCATTGAGGAAACAGGGCAAGAAGAAGCAAGCAAGGAGAGAGCAGAGCATGCCCAGCCCCGCTCGCTGTTCCACCTGCCTGAGGAGCAGGAGCAGCCCGGGGTCCACTGCTCCTGCTGCCGCTGCCCGCCTGCCCACCAGACAAAGCCCAAGAGCAAACGCCCAAAGCCATGTCTTCTGCCTCACCTGCCTGTATCCCACTCATGGTCCAGTACTGCAAGAGTCTGGATTTGGGGTCTTTAAAACCATTAGGGGGAAGTAATAAACAAAAGGAGAGCTGCTTTCCCTTTAAAAAAAAAAAAAACCTTATGGGACCACAGGCATATATGCAGTAGGACATTGTCTGAACAGACGTTATGTGGCAGATGACTGTAGTAATTTAATTTCTTTACTTGTTATAGATCTATTCATATTTTCTGCTGCTTGAGTCAGTATCAGAAGTTTAAGTTTTTCTAGAAATGTGTCCGTTTCATCTAGGATATCTCATCTGTTGGCATACAGTTGTTTATAGTATTCTCTCGTAATTTTCTGTTTCTGTAAGGTTGATAGTAATGTCCCTTCTCCATGTAATTTTAAGAATAAAAGTTCATTGTGTGTAGCCATTAAAATGCTATTAAGATTTTTTTTTTTTACATTTTTTATTGTTGACCTATAACAAGTAAAGGAATTAAATTAATACAGTCATGCACTGCATAATAACCCATTGGGATAATGTCCAACCGCATATACATTTGTGGTCCTATAAGGTTTTTTTTCTTTTTTTGTATGAGTGCTTTATGTATTCTGGATATAGACCCTTACCAGCTATATGATTTGCAAATATTTTCTCCCATTCTGTGAGTTGTCTTTCACTTTCTTGATAGTGTCCTTTGAGTCTACTTCTATTTTTAAGGTTATTTGCTGACTTAAATAACCTTTACACCTTGATGAAAAGATTTGCCTCATGAAATTCTGTTGACTCCTTGCCATGAAGTAAGGACTCGTAAATGTGAATGTACAACTGTGCCTTTCTTTGCTGGTAGCCATTAAGTTAGAAAGAAGTTCTACCTCAGGCAGGTACTTTGCCCGGTAATAAAGAGGCCAGTAAAGTTGGTTAATTTACTATTGTTTTCATATGCAGCAGAATGTATTAGTCAGTATTTTGTAATGTGCTTTATTCCAGGAAATAAAAGAAATAATTTTCTGTCAGTGATATCCTGTTATACTGAATACTGGCTATTTTTTTGATGTAGTGGTATTTCATGTTCTCTCATAGAAATAAGTAGGCCGTTCTGTTTTGGGGAAAAAAACAGTTAAAGACTAAGTAACCTGTGCTTTTCAACCCCTCTGATGTTGAGGGGTCATAGTGATAAGAGTTGCTCATGGCTAAAATGCATGTAGGGACTGTGATAGCAGAAGTAGAAATAAGGCTACATCTGATCTTTGGGGAAGATTTTTTTTAATGGAGGTTTTTTAAGACAACTGTTTTTGGTGGAGGAAGAAAATGAGGAAAGAAGAAAAGGAGAAGTAGATACATGAAGGAAAAAAATAATTTAAAAAAAATCAATCCAGCTTGTCACTTTATAATTTTCTATTGACTTATCTTTCATAGCTGATTATATGTTTAGCTGCATCCATGCTTTTCATCTCCTTTTTGAAGCTTATAGTAGCTGTTGAGCAAGAAGAAATTCCCAGGCTTCAGGCCCTATATGAAAGAGGCCTTCAGAATGGTGTCCAGGGCCTGAGGCTGATCCAGCAGGAAGATATAAAAAAGAAGGAGCCATATTGTAGGGTAAGTGATTCTCCAGCCCCACACACACGTTCAAAGGGACAGTTTCACATAGGGTACTGTGACATGGAGACGAGGGTGAATTTACAGGAGGCAAGAATCATTTAGAATTAATTAGATGATCCTGTCGTGGAACCCTTGAGGAGACAGACACCAGAGGACATTGCCACAAACTCTGGATACCTGGCTTCTTCCTTCTCTGTGAGAAAAGACCAGGTTTGACCAACGTAAGCAAAGCCAAGAGGAAGTGTGAAACGGTATGGCATGTTTGGAAAGCACTGTGCAGTGAGGTGTGGTTGGAGAAATTATACATGAGATTGGAAAGGCAAGATTAGGCCTGTATAGAGGGCTTGGCATTCATGCTGATGACTTTGAAGTTTATCCAGTAGGCATGGGGAGCAGCTGAGATTTTTTTGAGGAGTTTAGCTACAGTGTGATCTGTATTTTGAGATGATAAGGCTGGCATGGGTGTGAAGAGTAGGTTGTAGAGTATCTTGCTTAAAACATGCCGTGATGGTCAAGGTTGAGTGTCAGCTTGACTGGGCCCTGATTCTCAGCAGTTTGGCAGTTATGTAATGATGTAGTTTAGCCGTTATGTAATGATGTAATCATCCTCCATGATGTGATCTGATGTGATCAGCCAATCAGATGTAAGGGGACTTTCCTCGGGACTGTGGCCTGCATCCAATGTGTATGTGTATATATATATATATATATATACACACGGACGTTGTGGCAAAGCTTGTTTGGTTGCTCTGGATCCTGCATCCAGCTTGTCATCCTCTGACCTCCAGTTCTTGATACTTGAGCAAACAACCTGCCATCTTACCTGCCAGTCTTGGGATTCATTGGCCTGCGCAGCCTGTGAGCCAGCAGCCTACCATTTTACCTGTTGATCTTGGATTCATGAGCCTCCGTAGCCTGTGAGCCAGCAGCCTGCCAATCTTGAGTTTGTCAGCCACTGTAGCTACATGAGTCAGGAGAAGCCTCCAGCCTGACACCTGACCCATGGACTTGGGACTTGCCAGCCTGTACAACCACATGAGCCATTTCCTTGAGATAAATCTCTCTCTCTCTCTCTCTATATATATATACATACACACACACACACACACACACACACACACACACAAACACACACGTACGTATATCTATATGTGTGTGTATATATACATATATGTGTATATATGCTTCATTGGTTTTGCTTCTCTAGAGCACCCAGCCTAAGACACAAGCTATGGGGAAAAACAAATCTCCTTTCTTTTATTCACGAAGGAGACATGAATTAATAATATAATAGTTACTGTATATGTGTTACCTTTCACCAGAGGCTATTGGTTCAACCCCAAGCTCCATTGACTTTCAATGAATGGCCATATCTCCTGTTCCTCCCCCCTCACTATTTAATTGACAGTGCACAATAGCAGGTAGAGAGAGCATGACCTTGAACTCACTGCTAGGCAATGTTTATCAAAACCTTGGTTTAGACAAACTATTTATGAGAGATAGCCTAGAAAATATGTAGAGCATTCTTTCCTCTACATCTTTCCAGACCATCAGAGTGGCAGACCTATACTGCAGCATTTTGCCCTCCTCGTCCTTCTCCCCAACCCCAAATTATTCTCTTTGACTTGTGCTTTAGTTTTGTGGCATCAGCCTTTGGGGAAGATCATGTGTCACTCATTGCAACCTCTGGGTAAGAATGTGGTTGATGATATATGTTGTTCACTATGTTACACAATAAATGGATAATTACTTTATTAAGAGTCAGCACAAAGCTGGTTCCTATGAGGTGGAGGTTGAAGATGTCCCAAATGTCTAACTTCTCAAAGCTGCTAAACCACTCCATCATCTCTAACATCAACTACTTCCCTGACCCTCAGTACTCTTCCTCTTGTCTTTGAGTTGTGTAATTCCCTGCAACGTCTCACAGAACTCATGAACTGTACTTAAGTGGTTTATTAGGCTAGTAACAGGTTACAACTCAGCATCCGGATTACCTTGGAAATAACAGGATACAATTCAGGAGACAGGATCAATTTTGTCAATCAGGACAGCTTCCAGCCAGGACAGCTCTCAGCTCCTTCTTGGCCGTGCCTACTGCTGGGCCTTCTCTTGGGCCTCTGCTGCTGGACTCCACTCAGACTGCTGCTGCCAGGCCCTCCTTGGGCTTCTGCTACTGGGCTTCTCTGGGCATGGCCTCAGTCTTGCTTGGGCAAGTGTTACAGCTCTTTTGGCTCTACCAACAAGTGCCCGGAGGCACACCACTCTGAGCAAGCCTTCTGCCTGAAGGCGCCCAGCTTTCTCTCTCTGCGGGCTGGCAAACCCACCACAGCTATCTGCCAGTGCCGTGGTTCTTGCTGCTTGTACTGCTGCTTGCTCGTACTGCTGTACTGTCTGATGCTGCCTTTTGTCATCTCTTGCCGCCTTCAGTGTTACAGCTCTTGACCCATATTACAGCTCTTTTAGGAAGTTCCCTTCTCTCTCTCTCAGTGCCTCTCTCTAAAACACCTCGGCTGGGTTGGCTGCTTATAAGCAGGCTCCTTATCAATTACAAGGCATTGCCCTCCACAAGGTAATCAATTCCTTTGGTAGACCACAGTCACTTAATTTGCATAGTAATCAACCAATTCTCACAAAGTCACTTAATCCTACTGGGTGGTTTTACACACCCTATTTGCATAGTAGGATCAGTATTTGGAAAATATGGCCTTGGTGATAGAAATGATGCCGGAGATCACATGATAGAATTTTGTAAGACCAACGACTTATTCATTGGAAATACTTTTTTTCCAGCAACATAAAAGGGACTATGCACGTGGACCTCATGGGATAGAATACACAGGAATCAAATTGACTATATCTGTGGAAAGAGATGATGGAGAAGCTCAATATCATCAGTCAGAACAAAGCCAGGGGCTGACTGCAGAACAGACCATCAATTGCTCATATGCAAGTTCAAGTTGAAGCTAAAGAAAATTAAAACAAGTCCACAAGAGCCAAAGTACAAACTTGAGTATATCCCTCTGGAATTTAGAGACCATCTCAAGATAGATTTGACTCATTGAACACTAATGACCGAGGACCAGACAAATTGTGGGGTAACATCAAGGACATTATACATGAAGAAAGCAAAATATCATTAAAAAGACAGGAAAGATAGAAAAGACCAAAATGCATGTCAGAAGAGACTCTGAAACTTGCACTTGAACGTAGAGTAGCTAAAGCGAATGGAAGAAATGATGAAGTAAAAGAGCTGAACAGAAGATTTCAAAGGGTGGCTCAAAAAGACAATGTATTATAATGAAATGTGCAAAGACCCAGAGTTAGAAAAGCCAAAGGGAAGAATGTATTCAGCATTTTTCAAACTAAAAGAACTGAAGGAAAAATTCAAACCTTGGGTTGCAGTATTGAAGGATTCTATGGGAAGAGTTTCATTCTATTGTATGTGGGGTTGCTATGAGTTGGAACCAGCTCGACCCCACCTAATACCAACAACAATATTTGCATGGTAAACTAACCAATTCCTTTGCAATATTGTGGCCTAGCCAATCATTTTGGCAGAATTATATATGGCAGAAAGGCCATATATAAGAGAAACCCATTGTACTGTACACAACATCTTGCTCTGAGAGCCCTCAGGAGAAATTTCTCTCAGACTTCAGTTCTAAGAATAATTTTGTGCTTCTTGAACACAGCTGGCTTGTTTTTATATTATGGACACTGAATCATTTAACTGATTGCATTGTCCTGTTTGCCTAGGCTGCAAGGATGTTCAGGGACACATTTGTGCCCTACTCCTGCCGGATATTTAGGGCCTTAAGTATATATTTTTATTTTTGTGTACTTCCCTCTGCATTTCATCTTATCTTTTCACCCTCATTTTCTGTCTGCCCCAACTTTTTGGAACTTTTTTATTGAACCATAACATATAACAGAACTCATAAATATACAGCTTGATGAATTTTTAAAAAGTGTTATCAGTGCCCAGATCAATGAACAGAACATTACCAGCCTTCCAGAACTTCCCACATGTCCCCTCCCAGTCATTACCTTTCCCTTAAGGGTAACCACTATCCTGACTTCTTACTTTGTAGATTGGCAAATTTTTTATGGTACAGGGTTACTTCTGTTTCTTCCAGTCCTCCAGATAGAAAAGTCTCAGGGCAGCTCTGCAGGGCATCTTGAACCAGGTCCCTTTTAGACGAAGACTAAGTACCCCTAAAGGGTATACCTCTAACCTTGGGGGTGCTGATCCTCTGCATTTTCTTTACACTATTGGTCAACCTTACATTTGTCTGTTATTTTATCCTCCTGATTGAGTTCCAATTTTCCTGCCCTGTTTACCTGGTTCTTTTCTAGCCGCTTGACCTGACATGACCTAGGATTTCAAGCTCTGACCTGCTGACTTGAACAGTGCATGCCCAGCCTTCTGGCTCACAAACACAGTCAGCCTGTCCACCAGCCCCATCCTGACTTGGCTGCCTGTGCCCTGCAGGCAGTCCTGGGCATGGCATTGGGTTACCTGGCAGTGATGGCTCTCTCCACTTTTCTCCAACATACACATATAAGTGGGGCATACCAACATCTCATGGGGAGGGGCACAGCCATGACTAGAAAGAGAAAGAAAGGAAGGGAAACCTTTAGGGGAATATCTAGAGGGTAAAAAAAATCTAGTATGTGTAAAGCAGCTCTCAAAAGTTTATTCATTCAGTAAATACTTGAGCGCCTTCTGTGTTTCAGGTATTGTGCTGGATAATAAGGGGTATAAGATGAATTTGGGATTCCAAAAAATTATTGATCCAGCATTTTTTTATAGCACAATTTTATTCCTCTATTATCATACTTATCACATAGTTTTATGCTAGGTAAAGAAGTTTTTGTGGACTAAACTCTTGGTATTATCCCAGGTTAGTTTCCAAGGTTATTGTACCCGAAATACTATTGATAGATTGAAGTTGAGTTATAGCCCTTGACCTTTGAATTTAGGGACTGTCAGGCGGTGACTAGGTCTAATCTCAAGTCCACTGTATCCAAACTATCCACTTATATCCAAACAAAAGGAATGATTTCCTATACCTGGCAAATGCCCTCATATTCTAGAAGGAAGATGATGAAGTTTGCCAAATGTTGCTTTCAGTCTGTGAAAACAGACTGGTATTTTGCGAGCTTTAATCTTTGTGTGAAGGAGCCCTGGTGATGCAATGGTTAAGCACTTGGCTGCTAACCAAAAGGTTGATGGATAGAACCCGCAAGCAGTTTCATAGGAGAAAATACCTGGCAATCTGTTCCTGTAAAGATTACAGCCTTCAGAGGAAACTCTATGGGGCGGTTCTACTCTGTACTATAGGGTCTCTATGAGTCAGAAACAACTTGGCAGCATACAACAACAACAACTCTTAGTGTGATCTGGTCATTTGGAAGCATTGGTCAGGAGTGGGTGACAAGCAAAAGCTCTTAAGGTCTAAGCAGGTAAATGTGTGGGTGATAAATATGAGAGTGAGATATTTAAAAATAATATTAGCAAAAAATGGTACAGCCATTGTGGAAAACAGTTTGGCAGTCTCTCAAAAAGTTGAACATAGAAATTACTATTTGACCTAGCAATATATACCCAGAGGAAGTGAAGGCAGGAACACAAAAGACCTGTATGCCAGTGTTTATTGAAGCATTTTTCACAATAGCCAAAAGGTAGAAATAATCAAAATGTTTATCAACAGATGAATGGATAATCAAAATATGGCATATACATACAATGGTAATACTATGTAGCCGTAAAGAGAGATGAAGTTCTGATGCATGCCGCAACATGGATGAATCTTGAAAACATGCTGAGTGAAATAAGTCAGTTGCAACAGGACAAATACTGTATGATCCCACTTATATGAAATAAACAAATATATAGAAGCCAAAGATTACTAATGGCTACCAGGGGTGGTAGGAGGGGGAGTTTTATTTGGGAGGTATTGAGTTTATGTTAATGGTGGAATATTTTGGAAAAGAATAACGATAATGGTGCCACACATGAAAAATGTAATCAGTGTCATTGAATTGTAACTGTAGAAGTTGTGTTGGTGAATATTTTTACCACAATAAAAAAAAAAATAATAGTAGCAGATATTATTTTAAAATTGCAACAACAGTATTGCTGTGCTGGCCAAGCAAGAAGGCAACTTTTGCCAGTGACACTCAGCTTCTGAGCGTTAGTTATCCTGGGAACCAGACTACTCTCATAGGAGAAATTGGTTAGAAGAATTGATACACTCATACACAATAAGGCAACAGAAAAGCATGCTATTACCAAGGATTTGCCAAAATGCAGTCTGTTCTTAGTGTGTGGAATTCTACTCTTATCCTTTTTTTCAGAATTAGAAAAGGCTAATAGCACATTCAACATTTATTACAAAAAATAAAATAAGCATTGGTGTGTATCTGTTCATCTACAGAGTATGGACATGTTTTGGGTGTTTAAAAAAAATATATATAGCAATCCTGCTGCTTGGAATATATCTTAGAGAAATAAGAGCCATCACATGAATAGATAATATACACACCCATGTTCATTGCAGCACTGTTCACGATAGCAAAAAGATGGAAGCAACCTAGGTGCCCATTTAACGGATGAATGGATAAACAAATTATGGTATATTCACACAGTGGAATACTATGCAACGATAAAGAACAATGATGAATCCGTGAAGCATAACATGGAGGAATCTGGAAGGCATTAGGTTGAGTGAATTTAGTCAGTCACCAAAGGACAAATATTGTATAAGACCACTATTTTAAGAACCCAAGAAAAGGTTTAAACACAAAAGAAAACATTCTTTGATGGTTACGAGGGTGGGGAGAGAGGGAGAGGGTTATTCACTAACTAGATAGTAGACAAGAATTATCTTAGGCAAGGGGAAGGACAGCACACACTACAGGGGAAGTCAGCACAATTGGACTAAACCAAAAGCTAAGAAGTATCCTGAATACAACGAAATACTTCAAGGGACAGAGTAGCAGGGGTAGAGGTCTGAGGACTATGCTGTCAGGGGATATCTAGGTCAATTGGCATAACAAAGTTTATTAAGAAGATGTTCTGCATCCTACTTTGGTGAGTGGCATCTGGGGTCTTAAAAGCTTGCAAGCGGTCATCTAAGATGCATCAATTGGTCCCAACCCACCTGGAGTAAAGGAGAATGAAGAACACCAAAGTCACAAGGAAAGCATTAGCCCAAGAGACGGAAAGGGCCACATAAACCAGAGACTGCAACAGCCTGAGACCAGAAGAACTCGATGGTGCCCGGCTACCACCAATGACCACCCTGACAGGGAACACAACAGAGAATCCCTGTTGGAGCAGGAAAAAGGTGGGGTGCAGAACTCAAATTCTAGTAAAAAGACCAGACTTAATGGTCTGACTGACACTGGAGGAACCCCAGAAAGCATGGCCCCTGGACTCTCTGTCAACCCAGCACTAAAACCATTCCCGAGGCCAACTCTTCAGTCAAAGATTAGATTGGACTATGGGACATAAAGTGATACTTGTGAAGAGTGTGCCTCAGCTCAAGTAGATACATAAGACTAAATGGGCAGCTCCTATCCAGAGGTGAGATGAGAAGGCAGAGAGGGGTCAGGAGCTGGCTGAATGGACACGGGAAATCGGGTGGAAAGGAGGGATGTGCTGTCACAGTATAAGGAGAGCAATTAGGGTCACATAACAATGCATGTATAAATTTTTATATGAGAGACTAACTTGAATTGTAAATTTTCACTTAAAGTAGAGCAATAAAATAGAAAAAAAAAATATACGTGTGTGTGTGTATGTCTGTATATATATAAACTGTCATATCACCTGAAGGGAAAGTTTGAGTTAAGGACATAAAATCTCCATTCCCTATTTGTAGTCTTGAAAACAAGGTCTGCAACAAATCAAAGCAGTGCTCTGTAAACATTGCAAGTAACTAGAACACTTGAGTTCTCATTGAGTGTACATGATATATAATATAAACCCATTGCTGTCAAGTCGATTCCAACTTATAGCAACCCTATGGGACAGAGCAGCCCTGCCCCATAGGGTTTCCAAGGAGCGGCTGGTGGATGATTCAACTGCTGACCTTTTGGTTTACAGCCATAGCACTTAACCACTGTGCCACCAGGGCTCAAATATAAGATAGGCTACTGGGAAAATCTTAGTGGATCTTATTTAAAACGTACTTGCATGGTGATACAGAATTGGACTCAGAATTAAATATGAGTCAGATCAGGATCAGATATGGCGAGGGACAACTAAAACTGGTAAAACTTGCTGTAGTGGCCAGAAGATCCTGGCAAAATGAACTCCTCTAAGGGGGAAAATTGTTTCCTGACTCTAAAGAGAAATTTTCTTATTTAGCTAGAAGTATTTTTTTATCTGTTAGATACATTATATATGTACTCAACATCATTTTTAGGCACTTAAAGGAGCAAGCTTTTATTTAATTTTTGCTTTAAGACTGTCAGGCTGTTGCCAAGAAAGAATAATATACGTTATCTATCAAAATAAACACGTAGAAAAATTCAGCCCAAATAAAATGTATTGAGCAAACCTATTCTCAATGAGTCTTAATTGTATTGTCTTGATGTTTTCACAATCCTGTCCCAGGGTCTAATGGCTATTGATTGCCCATATACTGGCATTGTGGACTATCGGCAGGTGGCTTTGTCATTTGCCCAGGATTTCCAAGATGCAGGTGGCTCTGTTTTGACAAATTTCGAAGTAAAAGATATTGAAATGGCTAAAGAAAGTCCTTCAGGAAGTCAAGATGGTAAGCAATTCTTGCTGTCTTTTCTACTGAATACTTGTATTGACCTTTTGAAAAGCTTGGATGCATGGCCTTGGATTTATGGCAGGCCCATCACTGTGAGCCTCACATAGTGCCTATGCCAGAGAAACTGGAGCCCCAAACCGTTGCCTGGCCTCCTTGCCCATAGGCTGTGGGCACTGAAGCGGATTGCACAGTGGGGAAAAAAAAACAAGCTTGGATAGCACTGGTGGGGCCACCAGGAGTTGGGCTACAGTAGGGTGTAGAGCTGGAGGGAGGTGCAGAAGAGGCGAGGGTGGAAGAACCAGGAGTCCTGGAAAGTCTTGTGCTGTTAGAACTGGGCTCTGATCAACACTTCTCACTGGTGCTGGAACCTGAACTGCCAAGGCTGTTTATAGGAAATGAGCCCCCAAACACTTCTGTACCCTGCAGGTTAGAGTCAGAATCCCTTGGGATACTTGTTAAGAATGGCAAATTTTAGTATCACCCAGGCTTACTGAATCAGTTTGTCTGGGGACAGGGCCGAGGAATAATAAACTCTTCCCGATTCTTAGACACACCCAAGTTTCAGAATGACAGCCCAGGGTCATAAAATGATTCAGCCTTTCTGAACACCACCCTCCCCATCCGCCCTCATTTTGGGCTGTGCTTAGAGTTTGTTTTATTTTGCTTTAGGGGCATTAACAATTTTTTTTTTTAACCAACCAATGATTTACAAGCCTTCTATTTGCTATTGGGAAATTTGAAGGAGAAAAAAAGTGTGCTTGGTTCAGTCTTCCTGGACAAGTTTTTAAGGAGATCTGGACTGTCTGAATCATTCTCCCAGTGTCTTTTGAAATTCAAAGATGATGAGCAAAATTGTTAGTTAAATAGATAAAGTTCTTATAGGTAGTATAATCAATCAAATTTATTACATGGGTATATAGTATTATTTATCTGGAGTACATATGCTTTATAAGACTGAGATGCCGTGTGTTTGAGTGGGAACTATTTTATAAATAGTTTATTATTGAGAATTTTTGTATTGTGATGACTCTTTTGACTCTTGCTTCCCTACACAGTCTAGGATCTACAAGGACTCAGGTAACCAGTATTTAGACAACAAAGGTTCTCATGTCATAGCATTAGTCTTTGAAAAGAACTAATTTATGATGATCCATTTTACAACATGGTTTTCAGGATTGTATTTCAGAGAAATGCTGGGACTGCCTGTGTTGGAGTTGAGGTGGGAAATGGTTTTACAAGCATGAATCAAATTAATTAAAATATGATGAGCTAAAAAAGCGTGCCAGAATTTTAGAAATTATCAAGTAACAACTAGTTTAATCTTGTTACTTGGTAAGATGCTTCAATATGAAAAGTAGGGTGCAGTCATTGTTATGACAGAAAAAAATCATTTAAATTTGTCACTAGTATAATATTTCAAATAGTGTGGGTCTTCTTTTGTAAAAATAAATCTTTCACTGAGTCTTTTTTTTTTTTCAGGGATGAAGTATCCAATTGTTATTAGGAATACAAAGGTAAAGATTCCCAAGCAAAAACCTTTGTCTGCTTTCATCCTCTCCCCTTTCTTAAAAAGTTAAATTAACTGACAGTTCTGATTATAAGTCATTGAATGAAATTTATCTAATATGAAAATTATTCCAAGAGGAGTTCTTTGAGAGCAGTATAACAGCTTTCATTCTAATAAAAGTTTCAACTTGAGAACATCTTCATAACGTAACTCGGCTGACAAAGAATAGAATATAAGCACATGGGATGTTTAGTTTTAAGGCAAAACTGGTAAATATTTTAGTGATCTGTCTTCTGATCCACATTAACTGATTAGCTCTCTACTAATTAGAAGATTTTTAGGTGGGAGGAGTGCAGAGAGAGATGGACTGCTTTCCTGTATCTCCACATAGTCTGAGACATCGACTAGCACAGAAGCATTGTGTTTACTGTATGTTCACTGCATCATCAGAGTTCAGTCCGGGAAGCAGAGTCATTAATGAGTCTTTTGGGATTCATTATAGGAATTAGACCTTACACAATTGTGAAAGGATCTGAGGAAGTAAAGGTCCAGAATGGGATTTGGCAGATCAGAGGAATCTCCAGCCAATGTGAGAAGCCAAGTGTGTCCAGCTGCCATAGAGGGACTGCAAAGGGGAAGCTTATGGCGAGATTTGTGGGTGATTGTTGCCCCTGCATCTGTACCCAAGTAGAAGATCTGAGGCTTCTCTTGGTCAGCAGGATCAATAGTTGGGACACAGAGCTAGCTTGTCACCAGTTTCCCTGACCATCCAGCCAAACCATTAGTTGTTGCACGTGAAGCAGTGTAGATCCATACCTCTAGCCATCTATCCTTCTGGGCAAGATGGACAACCAAATGTGGTGCTCAATGTTCTGCCCACTGGGAAGATTTCCCTTCACCACAGACCTTCAGGACCACTCCTGAGTGGGGTTCTGGTGCTGCAGCTGTTCACTTTCAAGTGGTGCCAGAATGTTGTGCAGAACCGTTTGTAAAGTAGGCCTGTATACTTTTTCCCTCGGTCAGCTGATAATAGAAACTCCCTATGGTGTCACAGGGACAGGTTGAGAGGGAGGAGGCAATTTAGGAGGAGGAGGGGCCATGAGAATTTGAGCCACTTGCCTCTGTAACTTACTTGTGCATGTAGGACCTGTAGCCCTGATCTTGTATATTCTACTTCCTCTCAATGGTGGAGGAACTCCAGTGGTGCAGTGATTAAGTGCTCAGCTGCTAAACAGAAGTTTGGAGGTTTGCAGCCACCAGCTGCTCCTCGGGAGAAAGATGGGCAGTCTGTGTCCGTAAAGATTACAGCCTTGAAAACCCTATGGGGCAGTTCTACTCTGTTCTACAGGGTTGCGATGAGTTGGAATCGACTCAATGCCAATGGGTTTTGTTTTTTTTTGTCTCAGTTGTGGAGTGCTGCTGTACACACCCAGTATTGTGACTTGATTGGTCAGACAACAACCAGTTAATAATGGGTAGCTCATTTCACATGGTAACTTGGTGGCCTCTGGTCAAGTGTTCAGTCAAAGCCAAAAGCTCTTTCTCAAAGGAGGATAGTTACCTGCAGAGAAGGTTGTAACTTGCCTCCAAAATCCTAAAGTTCTGTGCAGTGATTCACCTACAGGGCCTGCCAAAGACTCCATAAGATAGCCTTACTGCCACAGTCGCTTCAGCTACCATCAGATCTGCTGAGTCATGTGGCCCAAGTGATAGAGCAACCATGCTCTCCGTTTAAAGAAAGATTAAAAGTGTTTCACTAGAGTATGGCATCATGTGATGCCACATGGCATATGTGGAGTCTTATGGGATAGCAAACCAAATCCATGGCTGTTGAGTCAATTCCAACTCACAGCGACCCCGTAGGACAGAGTAGAACTGCCCCTTAGAGTTTCCAAGGAGTGGCTGGTGGACTCGAACTGCTGCCCTTTTGCTTAGCAGCTGAGCTCTTAACCACTATGCTACCAGGGCTTTTATGGGATACCAGTGGATATCTATTTCACCCAAAGTTGCTATAGTTGCTTTTTATTTTGACATCCTTTAGTATTGTTTTTGGGTTCAAAATCAAGTATTTGGGTACATTTATCAGGAAACATGTTTTTACAAGAGCTTAAAAGAAAAAGAATTTTTAAAATAACTTTTAGGGGGATTATTTGCAAACTAAAGATTTATAGATTGAATATGAGGGGTGTCATGGATTGAATTGTGTCCCCCCAAAATATCTGTCAACTTGTCTAGATCATGATTCCCAGTATTGTATGATTGTCTACCATTTTGTCATCTGATGTGCTTTCCCTGTGTGTTGTAAATCCTGTCACTATGATGTTAATGAGATGGATTAGCAGCAGTTACATTAATGAGATCTACAAAATTAGATAGTGTCTTAAGCCAGTCTTTTTTAAGATATAAAAGAGAGAAGCGAGCAGAGAGACATGGGGACCTTATATTAACAAGAAAGCAACACCGGGAGCAGAGTGCATCCTTTGGACCTGAGGTCCCTATGCAGAGAAGCTCCTAGACCAAGGGAAGATTGATGACAAGGACCTTCCTCCAGAGCTGACAGAGAGCAGAAGACTTCCCCTGGAGCTGATGTCCTGAATTTGGACTTTTAGCCTACTAGACTATGAGAAAATAAATTTCTCTTTGTTAAAGCCATCTGCTTGTGGTATTTCTGTTATAGCAGCACTAGATGACTAAAATGAGGGGAAGGGGGGAGTCTTTTTCACTTGTGAGCAATAGAGGTGCATGGTTTATTTTTTTAAGGAAATTTGTTTGAACAAATGTATTATTCAGTGTTTACCTTAATTTTATTTTGGAAAGTAAAATTAATGTTACTGAATTTAATGTTCAATGTAAAGAGTAAAATGATTTCAGAGATCTATGATAGTTTTTAATCATTTCTTTCTTTGGAATTATTGCTTGAGTTTTTTTAAAGAAAACTATTAGATTATTTTATGCGGATGCCATTCTACAAATTTCATTATCATCTTTACATTATTTATCATAAGACTTATCTACATTTCTTGTTCCAGGAACAAAATAATTGCTGACTTTTCAAGTAGGAACTAGTACATTTATATCACAGAAAAATATTTCTTGTACCTCTGGTATATAATTGTAGATGAACAGGAAAGATATGAACCTATTTAGAAGAAGGCATTATTTTGTTGCTGACATAGCTGTTTTATCTTTGAAGATCTTAGAATTGCCATGGTTTCGTAGCTAATTTGGATTCACTTTGGGGAAGTTTCATCCGATTTTTGTTAGAAGTGTGACTTATATAACTCTTGAAAAGAGGCTTAACTTTCTAGCCATGGCATAAATAGGATGCAAACAGAGATAAAATATAGTCTATCAGAATAAAGCTGAATCAGTGAGGGTTAGAAAGAAAGAATATTGAGACACGTGAGAACTCTGAGGCTTCAGAAACAGATCTGCTGAGAAGGAAACCTAGAAGCAGAAAGTTATCAAGAGTAAGGAGTTGCTGGTTGTTTATTTTGTAAGAAGTAAGGAGATGGGAACCAGAGGGTGGTGGTAAATGGGGGTTAAATGAAATCATTTAGGAAATATGGTGGCAAAATGGCCAAACCTGGCAGGATGAAGCTAAAATTAGGCAGATGATAATCACAGAATAAAATTGGTAGGAAATCACAACAGCCTAATACTAGCAGTCTCCTTGTCATGAAAGCAAACCCTGATTGTAGTGTATCCTCTCAGTAAATGTGGATTCAATGAATGAAGTTTCTAAAGTAGCCTCAATTTGCAAAGTAGATATTGGTCAGAAAGGAGAAATTGGTTGGTTGGTGAGTTGACTACAGTTGGAATTGAGCATTATTGAATGTGAAACAGCCTAAGAGTAACAGGGTAATTACTCATAGATAAGGCAGGAGACTCGGGGGCACCATGAGTCATAGCCAGTTCCACAGCAACTAACAACAAGAAGGCAGGAGAACCAAACCTACTAGTGGCCATCGAGTTGATTCCAACTCATGGTGACCCCACATTGTGGTAGAGTAGAACTGTGCTCCATAGGGTTTTTGTTTTGTTTGTCAGTTTTTTTTTATGGTGGTGAAAATATACACACCCAAATATCTGCCAACACAACAGCTTCCACATTTACGTTCAATGACATTGATTTCCATAGGGTTTTCAGTGGCAGATTTTTCGGGAGTAGAGTGCCAGGACTTTCTTCTGAGGCACCGTTAGGTGGACTTGAGCCTCCAACCCTGTGATTAACCAGAGAGCACATTACCCATTTGTACCACCTAGGGACTCCAAAGCTTCTTCATGCAACAAATAGTTAAGTTCCTTGCTAGGTCCTAGTAAAATAGCATTTTGTGTGTGTGTGTAGCTGGTTGAGTATCCATGTTAGGTCAAAGATATATCTGTAATTCTATTATATCTAGTTCAGTTTAAGTTCAAAATTTAAGGTGAAATCCTCTTGCATGCCACTATCCTATGTTTCTAGCTACAACCTAAATGCTAAAGAACTTATTTTGCTGATACTTGTATTTAATTTCACCTTTTTAAAAGAAAAAACTATTTCTGCACTTACTGTCTTTTCTCTGATCTGTGTTTCTCTCCTTGACCTATTTTACTCCTCTCCACTTTATAAAGATTCCTCTTTTTATTTTGCACTAGGGAAAAGAGATTCGGTGTCAGTATGTCGTGACATGTGCAGGACTTTACTCAGATCGTATTTCAGAAATGAGTGGCTGCAGTCCTGAACCTCGAATTGTACCCTTCCGGGGAGATTATCTGCTCTTGAAGCCAGAAAAATGCTATCTTGTAAAAGGAAATATTTACCCGGTAGGTAATGATGCTTCTGCCTTCTCAATTTCTCAAGATGTCGGCATAGAGGGAATAAAAACAAAAACTTTTACCTGGGTCAGAAGTAAGAGAGATTTTGACAGCCTGTTTGTGCATACATTTTATCCCTTTCTTGTCCAGTTAAATCCCTACTGATCTTATGGTCATTCCGTTACAATTAATCGCCCACAAGTACGTGTCTTCAGAAAGCATCACTGCGCCATGGCAAGTGCTATCAAGAAGGAACCTGATTCTTCCTCCTGTCTGGTGGACAGAGCATCATAAGAGAACTTTCCCTTATGGCAGTCCCAGATACCTAGCCCTCTTTCTCTGTTCACCTTCTGCAGGTGTAGAAAAGAGGATGAGGCCAACTTGTGTGTGTGTGTGTGTGTGTGTGTGTGTGCGCGCGCGCGCGTGTGTGTGTGCTTTAGGTGAAAGTTTACAGCTCAAGTTAATTTCTCATACAAAAATTTATACACATGTTGTTATGTGACCTTAGTTGCAATCCCTATAATGTGACAACACACTCCCCCTTTCCACCCCGAGTTTCTCGTGTCCATTCAACCAGCTCCTATCCCTTCTGCCTTCTCATCCCATCTCCAGACAGGAGCTGCCCTTTTAGTCTCATGTATCTACTTGAACTAAGAAGCACACTGTTCACAAGTATCATTTTATGTTTTATAGCCCAGTCTAATTTTCGTCTGAAGAGCTGGCTTCGGGAATGGTTTTAGTTTTGGGTTAACAGTCCAGGGGCCATGTCTTCTGGGGTTCCTCTAGTCTCAGACCATTAAGTCCCAACCTGTAGTTTTAAAGGGTAGAAGACAGAGCTGTTTAAATGAGGAGTTCATTCCTTCTGTCTGGAACTACCTGGAAATGAAATCCCCTAAAATATATTAGGTTGAACTGGGCGAAGTTGCCAATATTCAGCTATTTGATGTTTTTGACGGCCAAAACATCAAATTCAATCTAATACATTCCCACATTACAAAAGCCTGTGCTGTAAATGTAGTTCTTTGTTTTTCTTTTTCTGGCAGCTCTGATTTACTTAATGGCCACGTACGTCCCTAGTTGAAGTAGGACAGTTCGTCGTTTTTTTTTCTTTACCCGGGAAGATGAGGAGACAGGACGGTGTGCATTGGTGTCAGTAGCGTCAGTGTTTCCTGTGTGGCGTTTCTAAGCAGAAGCAAGTTAATAGAATATCTGAGTACAGATCATAAACAGTACAGATTAAATATATAGGAAGAAAGTGTTTTGTATTACCAATTGAATGCTCGTATCTGTAAGAAAATGGATAATGAAATGGGGCTTATTGTTCTTTGCTGTGTTAAATCCATAGGTCCCAGATAGCCGGTTTCCTTTCCTAGGAGTTCACTTCACACCAAGAATGGATGGCAGTATTTGGCTAGGGCCTAATGCAGTTCTTGCCTTTAAACGTGAGGGTTACAAACCCTTTGACTTCAGTGCCAGAGATGTTATGGATATAATTATCAATAGGTAACAACTTCATTTACTTAAAAATAATTTTATATGCCTGTTTTTTTAATATGGGAAATTTTGTTTTTCTACTTGTTATTCTACTTATTGGAGAAATCCTCATATTTGTGATTAGTATTTTTTTTTAATTAATAAAAATTAAGAGTTTTGTGAAATAAGTGTAATGTTTTAACTACTTCAAGAAAATTCAGATGAGCCAGGGTGATGGCTTAGCTAAAAAGAATAAGACCAAGAACCCGTCACACATCTGACAATCCAAATCTTAGATTGCTAACCTTCTAGTTGAAAAAAATTATTAAATCACTTAGTTTGATAACAGCATCTCAAGTCAGTCACCATCATTTTGTTAGCCACTGGATAAATTGCTGATAACCAAAGTTGTTTTCTTTTGTGGAAAACTAACAATACTTTTGTGTTGATTTGGAAGGCAGGTTCTTTACTATTGTAAGAAATAACTTAATAAGGTATTTTGTTTGGTCATTCTAGCAGTGTTTCACTCCTGAGAGTTTCACATCAAAATCACTGGAAAGTTTTTTAAGCTATACTTGAGTTTTACCCTCCAGAGATTCTGAAAACAGAAGATCTAGGGAGGAGCTTCCAGCTTGTATGCTTGTAAAAATACATACATACTAGTTGTTGTCAAATCGCTTCTGACTCATGGTAACCCCATGTGTGTGAGAGTAGAACTATGCTCTGTAGGGTTTTCAGTGGCTGATTTTTCAGAAGTAGATCGCTGGGCATTTCTTTTCAGGAGCCTCTGGGTGGCCTAAACCTCCAGCCTTTTGTTTAGCAGCCAAGCACATTAACCATTTGGGCCACCCAGGGACTCCACATACATATATACACATACATAAATAGGCTCAAATAGGCTCTCCAGATTCTCACTTGAGACAAACTGCTACAGTATCTTATCCCTGGCAGGCTAAAGAAAAGGAGGGTAGATGTCCTTACTTGTTTAACGCTCTGACTTAAAGATCTGTTAATGCCTTCTGGGTGTTTTGAAAACACTGAACATTTGCATTAGAGAGCCTTAGTGTTGGCAGGCTTAAAGAATCCCAGTCTGAAGCTAGCACTCCAGGGGCAGGCTTTCAAATTTGAGTTTGGAAGACATTGTTTACCTCTCAATTGGCCTTGTTTACCTTCTCTTATGGCCAAAAGTTGATTTTCTTTTTGTATGTAGTTTTTGTAAGTTTGCCTAGATTTCTGTGATGCCCTGTGCCCCCCAAAATAATAAAATGAATAAATAAATAATAGTTCTAAAAATGTCTTATAGTGGCAAAAAATTATTTTCTCTCATCAAGATTTTTTCTGTTTTCAGTGGCTTGGTTAAGCTGGTGGTGGAGAATTTTTCTTATGGAGTTAATGAAATGTACAAGGCCTGTTTTCTCGGTGCAACAGTGAGGTACCTCCAGAAGTTCATCCCTGAAATTACTGTCAGCGATATACTTAGGTAAGGAAAAGGCAGTAGGGATTGTAAACACAGACCTGACCTAGGTGAATGTGACGGTTCAGTCTGACTTAGTGATTAGGAAGCACACTTTCAATCAGTGTATCTGCCAAATCTTTACTCCTTTCCCTTCCCCCAGCAAATTGTTTGAGTTCCCTGTGCAGTGCATGTATTGCTACATCATGGCCCTTAGTGCTTAAACTAGGTCTGTTTATAATTGGGGACCTGGTGGTACAGTGGTTAAGTGTTTGGCTGCTAACCAAAAGGTTGGCAGTTCAAATCTACCAGCCGCTCCTTGGGAACACTATGGGGAAGTTCTACTCTGTCCTGTAGGGTCACTATGAGTTGGGATCGACTCGACAGCAACGGGTTTGGTTTTTTTAAATTATTATTATTTATGATTAGGCCACCTTACTGCATTAAACTGAAATCTTCATTTCCAACTTTATTTTAGTGATGTTAGGCTTTTACCTTTTTTTCTGTCACGTTAAAAACACCTTGCCTAAAATTTTAAAAATCTCCATAACCTCTTATGATGAGTCCAAAGACTTTTGACTTTTATTCTGTGTAAGATAATTGATATTCTGTTAACTAATTAGGTAATAAACATATTAAAACATTATTACATTTTGATTGATTCTTAAAACCTCTTAGAACTGCTTCCTTTGCCATGAGACCAGAAGAACTAGATGGTGCCCAACTACCATTATTACTGAACATTTTGATCAAAGATTGTATAGTAGAATCCTGATCAAAAGGGGGAAAATGTAGAACAGAATTTAAAATTATCATGGACTCCAGACTTCCTGGAGCCATGAAGGTTGGATGAACCCCTGAAACTATTGGCCTTAGATACTCTTTCAACTTTAAGCCAAAAGTATCCCCTAAAGTCTTCTTACAACTAAACAATAGTTTAGCTTAACTAGTAAAAAAATACCTGCCTTGATCATAATGCTCTTTTAAGAAGTATCTATATGAGATGAAGTTGATAACAGTAACTTGAAAGATTATATAGGAACCTTAGAGGGCAGTGAATTTATGTTAATGGGGGAGGAGCAGCTCAGAAAAGGAGGGTGAGAATGGTTGCACAACTCGAAGAATGTAATCAATGTCAGTGAATTGTACATGTAGAAACTGTTGAACTGGCGTATGTTTTACTGTGTGTATTCTCAACAATAGCAACAACATAAGTAAAATAAATTAAAAAAAAAAAAATCTCTTAGAAACACTCCTAGACCTAGCATCTTACCTTGTTTCTTCTCTCTGTCTTTTGTTCTCTTTCAAGCCCTAGTTGGCTCAGGGATTGTACCTGCAGGATAGAAGTGGGAAGTAGTAGTGTGGTAACAGTTAATCTAAGCCCTTGCTACAAAGGTGTGGGGCAAAGAAAGGGAACTTAAATTTTTTTTTTTTCTTCAAGATAAAAGACTTTCTGAACTTGATCTATAGATCGTCCTAAATACTACCCAACCTTATTTTCTTTCCTCTTTGGTGATTTTTTTAGGGTGTACATCTTCCCTGAAGCAGTCATTTATTGAGCTTAATTAGCAGTGGACTGGAGGTACTCTCCCTGCATCTATAATCCATCTCCCCCTGATTCTCCAGTATACTGAATATCTGCCCTCTGTAACAGCTGCTGGACTTGCTGGCATAAAATGTTAGCAGGCTTGACTCTGTATCTGGGAAGAAGGCAATAATCACATCAGCTGTCTCCCTTAGGGGAGCGTCCTGGTCTAAATCTGACTCTAATGTGTCATTCTGAGACCAGCCTCTTTGAATTCTTAGAACTATTAAAATCTAGCTAATGTTTTTACTCATCTCTCCCACGCCTTTCTACTCACCTTTTGAAATGGAAGGGATATAAATATCTAGGCTTCATTTTCTTTCACTAGCCTATAAATCCCCTGGGTGGCCCAAACAGTTAAGCACTTGGCTACTAACTGAAATGTTGACGGTTCAGACCCACCCAGAGGCACTTTGGACTGACGATCTGTTTCTAAAAGGTCACAGCCTTGAAAACCCTATGGAAGCTTGAAGGCATTATGCTGAATAAAATAAGTCAATCACAAAAGGACAAATATTGTGTGACCTCACTTATATTAAAAGATAAGAACAGGAAAATGTATAGAGACCAAAGTTTATTTGTGGTTACCAGGGACGGGAGGAGGGGGGAAAAAGGAAGGGGGTAATTGCTTATGGAGCACTGTGTTTTGGTTTACAGTGATGGAAGAATTGCATTGATGAAGGGTAGGGTTACACAGCCAGTTAATGTAATTGCTGTCAATATGTAGTACACCTGTAAAAATTTGAATTGACAGAAGTGTGATAGATATATGTATAAAGACAGCAACAAAAAAGAACAGCTGCTGAGGCTTCTTATGTACAACGAAACACCTCATGGGTTTTGGTTTCTTGGTTTGGAGGTTTAGGGACATGATTTCATGGGACATCCCAATTAATTGGCCTAATATTGTGTTTAGTGCTTCTGTTTGATCACCTAGTTCACTGTGTAGTTCCTGGGGTCTTAAAAGCTTGCAAGCTGCCATCCAAGGCAAACAATTGACCTCTGTTTGCCTGGAGCAACAGAGGAAGAAGGAGAGTCGGGAATGGGAGGAAAATAGAAATGGAATGGAATGAAGTGGAATGTGTGGCTGATTGCCTCCATGAACAACTACCTTCTTTTCCATGAGAAGAGCTGGATGGTGCCCGGCTACCATTAGTGAACATTTTGATCAAAGATTCTAGAGAAGAACCCTGATCAAAAGGGGGAAAACGTAGAACATAATTTCAAAGTTTAATGGACTGCAGACTTCCTGGAGCTGTGAAAGTTGGATGAACCCCTGAAACTATTGCCCTGAGGTAATCTTAAAACCTTAAACCAAAAATGTCCCCTGAAGTCTTCCTAAAACCAGATACTAGTTTAGCTAAATTAGTAAAGAATGTGTACCTTGAGCATTGTGCTACTTTAAGAACCCTAACTATGTGGGATCAAACTGACAACAGCAACTCAAAAGGTTAGATAGGAAGCTTAGCAGGCAGTGAGTATATGTTAATGGGGGAGGAACAATTCAGAAAAAGAGGGTGAGAATGGTTGCACAACTTGATGTAATCAACGTCACTGAACTGTACATATAGAAATTGTTGAATTGATGTATGTTCTGTTTATATTCTCAACAACAACAAAAAATAGAATAAATTTAAAAATAAAGAAAACCCTACGGAGCAGTTCTACTCTGCACACATGAGGTCACCTTGACTCAGAATCGGCTCAACGGCAACTAACAATAACAGCCTATAAATAAAGGCTTTTGTGTTTCCGGTATTGGTGACCACTCCAGTGTAAGGATGTAAGGGTGTGAAGCTCAGTTACTGGTTTCATTGGCATGTTTTAGAAGAGGGTAGAGTGCACTGCAGGCAGGTGCGTTTGGGGATGAATTCAATCCAATCACAGATGAGTTTCTTTTTAGAGATAGGCTGAATACGTTCAGCAATAGAATCCATTTACTCCTTGTCTTGATTCCTGTAAATATTAAATGTGGGAAATTATCAATAACAAAAAGGAAGTTATAGAGGATATATAGTTTGGTATTATTTATATAAACTTTAAAAAGGATAATAATACCATATACTGTTTATGGATCACATATGTAAGAGAATAAAAACAAGTATGAGAATGATAAACACCTAGTTCACAAGATTGGTTACTTTTGGGAAGGGAAAGGAAGTGGAGTCTGGAGAGTTCCACAGGGAGCCTCGATCATATCTGTAATGCTTTATTTCTTAAGCTGTTTGATATGAAAATAGATCTTCATTCTGTTATTCTCTGTACCTTTTTGTATGCCTGAAATATTATATAATAATAATTTAAAAATATGATCAATAGACATTCCCACAGTTTGAAGCCAAAATCCTACCTTGTCTTATTCATCTTGCAATCCAATGTAGTAAAACAACAAATGCTGTATTATTGGTATCAAGGTGGAAGCATATCATGCTGCTTCAGCCAATAGAAGAGAAACAAAGCAGGACTTTCAGTGGAATATGTTGCCCAGGATGGTGTCCTTAAATTGCAGTAACCACCAAAGGGTATCCAGCTTGACTTCTCATTGCCTATGCTCATTCTGAACAATATCTGTTTGAAGAAATCCTTTATTCAATCATGTTTGCAAACACTAGATTAGAATGTAAAGCCATAATCTGTCAAATATATGCACTGTTGTTGTTGTTAGGTGCCGTTGAGTCGGTTCTGACTCATAGAGACCCTATAGGACAGAGTAGAACTGCTCCATAGGGTTTCTAAGGAGAAGCTGGTGGATTCAAACTGCTGACCTTTTGGTTAGCAGCCAAGCTCTTAACCACTACACCACGAGGGCTCTATATACGTGCTAGGCATACAAATTTCTCATTGTTAAATGATAATCCCTAAGGTCCACAATTCTAGCTTTAAACTCTTTTGATTTGTTCTGTGATTAGTGTAACAGCATTTTGTATCTATTAGCACTGTACAGATGTAGAAGATGATGACATATATGCCAAGATCCTTCTTTTCTCCCACATATCATTTTGGAAAATGTCTTATTTGGGGAATTCTAGAGTAAATTTTCAGACAAAATGTTTTTATCATGAGTAATAGCTAAAAAATATATGATGTCATTGTGAAACACAAAGGCAAAAGCCAAACATTCCTGCGATAAATTTGTAATAGAGACTTTAGTTTAAGGTGGTCTAGATCAGGGTTTCTCAATCTTGGCACTGTTGACATGTTAGACCATGTCTTAGGCTGGGTTCTCTAGAGAAGCCAAACCAGTAAAGTGTATAAATATATATAGAGAGAGGTTTATATCAAGGAGACAGCTCACGCGATTGTAAAGGCTAGAACATCCCAAGTCCGTGGATCAGGGTAGATGGGTAGATGCCTCTCCCCATGCAGCCGCAGAAGCTGGCGATCCCAAGATTGGCAGGTCAGAGAGCAGTGGACCCACTCACAGGCTGTGAAGGTTGATGAA